TTTTTTTTTTTTATACCTTTAATCATCTTTATAAGACCACACAAGCCCGTAAACTGCATACAGAGTGCATGTGCTCACAACATGCTGGTGCAGAGGGTTTAATGGCAGCTGGATTCACGGTTTGTGTTCAGACGAGGCAAAGCTGAAGGTAATTTCCTCGCATTAACAGACCGAGTAGGCTGAGCACGATGTTTTTTTCTTTTCTTTTTTCTTATGGCAGGCTGATTACACCTCAGTGGAGCCTCACTTTTAAGTTTGGGTCTGGACGTATTGCGCAATTTTGTGTGTGTGTGTGTGTGTATCCACGTGTGTGCAGTCATGTGAGGCCCAGGACGCGAGCAGTGTTTTACTAGACCTGATACACACACACACACTTCAAACACACTTTGTCCCGCTGCTTCTCTCCAATTCCCACCTGACATTTCAGCATTCGTAACCCCCGTTAGCTTCCACGCCGTGCCGCCAGATTTTCTTTATTTGTTTGTTTAGTGCAAGAGGAAAGGGAGAGGGGCCTCATCACCACCAAACCAGTAAAATGGGAGCGCTGGTTCCCATACCACTCCTGCCTCGGAGTAAATTCAGTTAACTGCTCTGTGAAATGGGGCACTGTGTTTGTGTCTTTTCTGTGGGTTTTTCTAAAGGATAAAAAGAGCAAATAGGGTGATACAGTGAAGTTGCATTATTTTTAAGTGTTATATTTAAGATCTCATTTTGCTTTCCAACCCACTATATAGTGCACTTGTGGAGGCCCTTGGAGGTTTTGTGCTAAAAAAAAAAAAAACACTTACCAAAAAAAGTAAATCACTCTAAAGTCAGGAAGACATCATTTCCTGCTCAGATGGGCTGGCACACATCATTCCCAGTGTTTTTTCTTTAGTATATATTTAACATCCCAGAACAAAAGCACTTTCCACAACTGGATTTCATTTTTAGATTGAAAAAAAAAAAATTATGCCAGGAGAAAATAAAAAATAAAGACTGATAGTTTTGACTAGCAGAACGACGGATCGGGATGTGTGTGATAGTTTGTGGCATGCGTGTGCGTACTTGTCCATGTGATGAATTAGTCTCTGGGCAGATGGTCCATCCCACTTGGTGGGATTGTAATACCAACCCCAAAAACTGTGGGATAAATATTTGTCTTGGGCTGTCTTTGGAATGATTGAATATCATTGAACGACAGGCTGCACCAGCTTGGTTTTCCATCTTAAGAGACGTTATTAGCTTGATCTGCTGTCACTGATGAGTTTAAAGGTGAATTTACTATCTTTCTATCAAACAAATCCAGCTGACAGAAAAACCAGTGAATTGATTGAATGTTTAGTATAGCACGTGTGGTCTCGTGTTGCTTATTTCTCCTTGGCAGAGAATGTGTTTGCATGCACGTTTAGAACACTTCTGTGAGGACATGGTCATTATGGAATCCAACTCTTGGATCATGTGCACAGCTGGGTCTGATTTCTGACCATCTCTGAATCTATGAAAGTCAACAGAGCATGATGAGGAGCCTGTATGAGGTATTTACAAGAAAAGAGGTAGCATGTCCAGGTTTCTGGGATGCAAATGCAATGTTTTTAATCTAATCTCAACCCGATTTTGACTTGTCCTGTGTCCACAGGACCTGGACACCTTGCAGTCACTTGGTCCACTCTTCTTCTTTTGCAAAGAAACGTTGTATAATTAAATGCGAGTCCATCTTTCTTGACATCTAAAGCTTTGTCGAAAGTGGGTCATCAACAGGATAATGATCCCACACACAGCAGCAAATGTAAAAACAGAATGCAAAAAAAAAAGAGAACAATCAAGGTGTTGTAATGGCCGAGGCCAAGTCCAGACTTCAGCGGGATTTAAAAGTTTGCAGTGGAACCTCCCAAAGCCCTGCAGAAACGAGTCACAAATCAAACTTCAATGTACAGAAAGTGAGCTTTGACGAAAAAGTGAGCTGGATTTCCTCCACAACAAAGTGAGAGGCTGCTAACAGGACATGTTCTGTTGTTCATCTGAGGTTGAGCTGGTTTACATTCAAGACCTTATAAGGAAGGGATGATTTATTCTGGCGTCCGGGGGTTCTGCAGCTAGCGTGGCTCCTTCACAAACCCCTCTGTGATTAGCTCACGATTTCTCTCCTCTTACTTCACTCGCTTGGCCTGGGGAGGCTCTGACGTGGGCGCGTGATTGACGGGGAAGAAAAACTTTCATTTATCTTGGAGGTTTGCGTCAGTGGGGCGGTGTCTGGTGTCGCGCTGTGAGTCTGTTGTGTAGCTGCTGACAGCTGGCGTAACTGCGCCCTGTCACTGTGCGTTTGGGAGTCACGGCAACCAACGGTAGCTCGGCCCGCTCCTGTCAGGACCAGTTTGGGTGGCTTTTGGGTAAAGCGTCTGCTGATGAGGCCTCTGTGACGCCTCACGTTAACGGGAGTCAGTCTGATGGCAGAGGGGAGTCATTAATCAGAAGGAAAAGTTGGTCTTTCCCAGAATGCGTCAGCAGGATGGATGGACGGATGGATGGGAAGCGATTAGAACACTGAAGTAGGAAACAGTTGCGGAGAAAGTCTGATTGTTTTAATGGACTGTCCTTGACTGCGAGACGTGGAGTCCAAACTGTTACCTGATTCGCATCTGAGCCCTTTAGTGTTCTTCCTCTCTGCTTCCCCTCACGGCTCTCCATTCCAGGAAGGCTTCCATGAGAACCGTACAGTGACGTGGCCGATCTGAAGTCATCTCCTCGGTGGGGCTGATGGAGAGCAGATCAAAGGACTGACGGGGCCACACTCCATCACAGCCCGGACCTACGTCTGTGTGGGATGGATGATTTTACAACCCACGGGCTGCTTCTTGCCTTTTTCACGGCTTTGAATCTTAATCGGGAGAGTCACGTTGAGGTTTAACACACACACTCTTCCTCACACACACTCGCACATGTACCAACGGCCTTATTTAGTCTCACTCCTGACCGGTTCATGAGAGACTGGCCGCTGGTAACACAAACCTCTTTGGTTGTCCATGTGTGTACCAGCTGTAGGCACTGGTGACCACAGGTCCCTTTTTTTTTTTTACACACACACACACACGCACGTTTACACAACCTGACCCACGGAAATGGGGTTCCTCGACTGAGATCACAGCTGGATCGGCCACAAGAAGAAACCATGCCAGAGGAAGGGAAAATAACGCCATCTATTTATAAAACCTCTCTGATTCTCTTCAATATCCAATCAAATGTAAATTAGGCACGGAAATAAAAGCCAGCGCCTTACGAATGCCTCACAGGTTGCACGTCTGTGTGTGTGTAGAGCCCTATTTCCCATTTCCCTCCCATGCAATGACCGTTGTGCAGCAGTGCTGCACCTCTTCGATCTGAGAGCACGCGCTGAAAAACAGCCACGAGAGAATGCACAACACTGAGCGAGGTTTGTTAAGAGGAGCCAATGTGGTGTTGATTACCTCGTCAGCAAAGAGGCTGCATGAAAGAGAGAGAAAGATACAGAGGGAGAGCAGGGAGAGGAGCGAGGGCCGTTAACTGCCTTTCCATACAAGGAGAGGAAGGGGGACAACGGAGGGTGGAGGGGGAGGAGAGAGCTGGAGAAAGGGAGAGAGGGAGAGGAGGGTAACATGAGGAGATACAATGAGAGAGAGACGGGAGGAGGAGAGAAATTTGGAAAGAGATAAAGGCAGGCGATAGAGGGATAAAGGCTGATAAGGCTGCGCCGGCTACAGTAGCGAGGAGAAGAGTGAGCGGAGCGCCGTCCAGCCTGTGATCCTGCTGCAGCTTCTCTCCGCCGCCGGCCGGCCGCTCCAACGCAGGTAAGGGAGGCTCATTCATTCGCTGCAACGCAAAGTTTGGGCTCAGCCGGGCCCCTTCTGTTTGATGTTTTTTTTTTTTTTTTACCTCCATGCGATGTGGCGCTTTACAGCAAACGCCTGCCATGCAAATGCAAGAGTTCTGATCCTGCCAAAAAAAAGGGGAAAAAAGCAAAGCAAAAAAAAAAAATCCAAAAAGATTTGATGACAATTGATCATTGCAGTGGAGCTTTGTCATAATGTCCTGCAAAAGAAGCATGTAGCAAAGATAAAACTATGAATTTGTAGATTGGAACATTAAACAACTGATTCTAAGACTTAAAAAACAACAACATATTACTCTCAGCCTTGTAAAGATTAAAGTTACAAATAAAAAGAACCAAATCAAATATTAAAATGAAGTGTCTTTTTGTCATGTTGGTCCTCTTGTATTGAGGAAAAACACTCCTCTATAGAAACAAACCTTCTTCTGCTGCTATATTCACAACTTCAGCTCAGCTTTTTCTTCAGTCCTGTTTATGGTTCAGCTTTGTTTGTCTGCGTGCACCGTCCGTCCTCACTGGTGCCTCTGTTGACAGTGTAACTTAACCCCCCCCCACACACACACACACACAGACACACACACACACACACACACTACTCCCTGTGTCTGCACTGCTGCCTTCACAGTCGCAATCCACCGTCCGACCACCTGTTGTGATGCACACCTGGCCGAGTGTCTGCGTCTGCGTAAACGCTCGGATGAATGAAACATCAGCAACACCGGCGTGGGCATTCAATAGGCGTGCAGGAAAAGAGTAATTCAAAACAGATGGACGCATCTCTTTCCTCAGCGTGAGCCCCTGAATCCTCTATTGCCCAATAAAAGATTTTTGGAAAAAAGAAAAAAAACAACAACTGCAAATTAGCTCTCCTCCACACCCTCATTAAAAGTAATCATACCTCCATTTGTGTTGAGAAATTGAGGTCTGTGTCCGTATACCTGCCTGTGTATAATTGCCGTGGTAAATGTTTGTATTATCTCGGCATGAGGCTGCTCTAATAGCTCAAAGAAAAGGTGCCCAAAGGGCGGCAGCCGCCATGTTGGCCCTGCTCCACTTCCCCCTGTTTTATTGTGTCTCGTGCCTGACAGGAAATCTGCTGTGTGTGTCTGTCTGCGTAAAATGATGAGACCAGGTGTGTGTGTGTGTCCTGTGCATGTGTCTGTACATACATGCATTTTGTATATATGTCTATGTACAAATACATAGACAAATATACGTACATATCCTGTAAGTTGTAATCAAAAATGCATATCTTGGGCAGGTACGTTTCTATATATTAATTTAAAACAAATCTAGACTGTGATAGAAGTCAGTTAAATTAGTGTAACTGCAGAAGATAAAAATGTATCAAAACTTTGTCTCCGATCACCTGACAAAATATCCTTTCACTTTGGGGTAGGTGTCATGTGTGGGTTCATGAAAGGAATAGAAATCAGTTCAATTATTGCAAATGACCCCCTTATCTGAAGTAAATATCGCTGGACAACGTAGACAGAATGGCAGCGCTTAAGTTCACAAACTGATACCAAAGGCTCAGATTTATGTTTTGGCTTTCCATAAATACAAGTACTGTAGAATATACAGAAGTTTCTGGTGACCCTTTCGAAATAGTTGGAGACTTAAGCACCAAAAGCTGGGTCCTCGTCTGCCTCCTGCGGGGTTGCAGGTTTGTGATCAGGTGACTGAGCAGACAGATCAAAGCTGGGCTCTGTGTGTCTCCATACTCAAGGTATTTTTATGGGTGGCTGTTAAACCGTGCAGTGGTTAATATGGATTTAATGGAGACAGGGAATTGATAAAACATCCAGTTACGCATAAGGCTGCGGTCAGAAAAGTGTCAGACTTGGAGTTTTGCAGCTATATTGGCAGAGTAATTCTATCTGACCTCTGCAAATAGACCTCAGGGACAATATGCAGTGGGACATGGGTGTTACGTGTGTGTGTGTGTGTGTGTGTGTATTTGCGTGTACGTGTTTGTGCGGTGGTTGACGCACCCATATTTAACTGTCTGCATTCTGCAGCTGCTTGGAGTTTTAGTTATAGTATGGAAACCCATGGAAACGAGCCTCTCTTTTACTGTAACATTAAAAGAGAGAAAAAAAAACAGTCCTCAGGTCTATTACATAAGAGTTTAACCATCGGCCAACAATTTCAGGAGGAGCATGACATCACTGCATTGAAAATACAAGCTGAGTACAACTAATTTGGCAATGAAAAACAATCTTTTGTGGGATTTAACATGAAGATTTAGTCGCTTACAATACTACAGTGTAACGGTCACGTCATTTCAGTTCTGACTCAGTCTGAATGTAGGGTTGGATGGCTAAAGAGATGTGAGCGAAAAATGTGGGGAGACGATGGAGGGGTGGAATAATGAGTGTTTTGAGACTGTCGGAAGAACCGCTTGTTGTAACAAACAACGTGGAAATGCGTCCTGTTACTCGTCTTAAATCCACATTATCTTCACATGAAGCTCGAGTTTATGTTCGAAATCATGCACGTGCCCTTCTTAAAAGAGAGTGACTCAGCAGCTGCTGGTCAGAGGATGGTCAGTCGGTGAGATCAGTAGAGCAGACAGAATTTACATCCATCCTCAGAGATGTCAGCCGCTTTGTTTTATTTCAGGGCGGCTCCTGTACCAGACATTCCCAGTGAATATTAACTGTTTTGCCCTGTAGCCAGAGACTGGCTCAGGGTCAACACACACTCGGTCCAGCCCAAAGGAGTAGGAGGATTTCTTTAGTTGGGAAGTTTAGGGTCAGAGGGTTCAATAAGTTTCGTTGTTAGATAAAATGTGTTGTGATATGAGGACAGAGATCTGGAATTTCCCCTTTCTTCTGATTTTCCAGGATTATCTGGGTTTGGCTTCCTAAGCGTTCTTGTTAAGATCCTTTTGTTTGTTGGCCCATGGGGAAAGATTACACGCCAAAGACAGCTATTAATTTCTAAATGTGCCACAGGTTTATCTGGCATGAAACACACTAGCAGGAACTCCATAAGAGCCACACAACCGGTGTTTGTGTGTGCAACCCGATCACGAGCGAACCATGATCAATCTCTGCCATGAACTGAGGAATAACACACTTTTTCATTTCTCCGTTCCTTCCAGATGATGTCATCAGAGCACCTGACCTGTGGTTGGCTGCGACAGCTACTCCTTGTGCTGGTGGAGCTTTGTCTCGCCTTTTCTGGGCCGCTGCGGCCTGGCAATGAGACGGACTGCGCGGCCAGGAGCCCTGCTTCCTACATCCTGGTCTTCACCGGTCACTGGAGCCCCCAGGCCTTCCCAAAGCAGTACCCGCTCTTCCGGCCCCCGGCACAGTGGTCAAAACTCATAGGTGAGAAGGCAAAGCGACGAGCTGGGAGGGATAGTCGCTCAACATCTGCTTCACCCAAAGGCGTTTATCCATTTGTGTTTTTATCATGTGTCTGGGGCTCAAAGCATCACTGTCAACAGTCATGCACATACACATAAGAGGTGGGAGAAGCAGTAAAAGGCAGAGAAAAATGGAATGGTCTAACTGCTACCAGATGGTGCCTCTCTTTGTTTCTCCAGCGTCTGTCTAGTCCCATCTTTAATATTTCTCTATTTCTTTGAGTGGATCCTACACTCCAGCCCACCTTTCCGCTGGTCTACCACAGTGTTGGCGGTAAGGACAGGGGTGATGGTTCTAGGGGCGGGGAAGGTGGGTGATGATAGCTGGGGTGTGGTGGGGTCAGACCGCTTAGCGCAGAGCCAAGAGAAGGCGAAAAAAAGAACATGTCTTCTTCCCCTCGTCCTTCATCCCCTGGTATTCTCCTTTTTTTCTCAGGATAGCTGACAGTGGTTAAGATGTGTGTATATGTGAGGGCTGGGGCAATGGCGGCTGTGGCTTTGTCTGAGTTCAAGGAGCCCTGGAAGAGAGGGATGCCACATTTATTCCACATAGAGGCACACACCAGCAGCTCTGACACACCCATAATCATTTCCACAGGGACCGCAAGGGATGGTCTTTGTCACAAAACAAGAAAAACATGAAAGCCTTTGTGGGCAGACGAAGTAGGCTGAAGATGGAGTTTGTTAGACCAAACCTGTCGAGGAGTTTGTGGGCCTTTGACGGGCTCGTGTTGCTTCACTGTGAATGTTACTGTCCCAGGAACGGAGCAGAGGACACAAAGAATGGCCAAGAAACACACACACAAGCGATTAAAGAAGGGTGGGCTTTGAAGTCTTGTCGGGGCTTAAACATGATGCCTTCTCAGGTATCAAGGTTTTGAAGTTAGTGGGAAATTTGTTAGGATGGAAATGTAATTAAGTGCACAAGTAATAACAGTTTGCGGGGAAACGAGATAGTGTGTGAAGTGTGCGGGGCAGTTTTTGTGTGTGTGGATAAGTGTGGGATCACACATGTGTCGAGACGATTTAAGCTTAAATGCATGGTTGTGAGTGTGTGTGTGTGTGTGTCTGAGAAGTGAGGTAAGGCAGAACCATCAGAGCATTTGTCAGCATGTTTCTGGCTAACCTTTCTCTGCCCCTAAAACCACTGGCCCAGGCCAGTGGCTCTGTGGGTTTCGATATGGAGCTCCAGGATCTGCGGTCCGAACCTAAAGCCGGTCTTGATTTTCAAAAGATTACAAAGATAGACAGAACCATTGAGAGGAATGTGAAGTGAATGGCTCAGATGGATCAGATTGTATAAAAACATCAATTGTTTTTTTGTTTTTTAAATAGAAGAAATCATTTGTTGTCCACCATCCAGAGGCCAACTGCAAGTTCCTGACCAGCCTCTTGGCAGCTAAAGCCTGTGTTGTGGTTTCAGCAGTGATAGATGGAGAATATAACCTTGCAAATATGCATGCATTTGGGCAAATCCTTCAGAATGATCAGTTTAAGTGCAGGAAGTAGGAGGCAGCTATAGAAATACGTGCCGGCTCCATGGTAGGAATGATCTCACCGTCTGGCTTAGGCTCTTTGGTTCTTCATTGACATTGACGTGCATTCCAGTGTATAAGCATCGCACTTCTAGCTCCTCATTCTTCAATGACTTTTTTCCTCTTTAGCGGTCAGCCATAATCGGCATTTTAGGCTCTGGGAGGAGGACGCATCAGCGAGTCCCGGGGTGCAGCACTTTGCTGAAGTCGGGGTCACGGTGGAGCTGATGAGGGCGGCCAAAGAGGCCCGGAAGAAGCGCACGGTCGGCGCAATGCACCGAACGGCTGGCATCCCCAACGGCATCGGTCACAGCTCCACAGAGATGCTCATGCAGCCCCGGAATTCACTGGTAGGCACAAATAAAACAACAAAACGGCCACTCATTCATGAAGGAGCACACACGTGCTCAGACACAGAAAGTCAAACAAACCATCTGTTTGACCTGGGCCTCCCCATAACATTGTATATCCACTCCAACCAAATACCTCACTACTTCTTTCCACTATATCCAGTCAGACTATGTTTAGCCTAAGTGCTTCAGCCCTGCAGCCACAAACGCCCACATCCATCCTGCACGGTCTGCTCAGTGTCTGCTGCTTATCCCACTGAACTCTGTGAGCTCAGGAGAGAGGGGCCCATGTTTGTGCAGTTAATATCAAGCTGGCAGACGGCTAGCTTAGCGTAGCATGCACGCTGGGAACAGGAGGAAAGAGCGAGACCGACTCTAATAGGAGAAAACTAAAACTTTTTTTTTTTTTAATAAACCTGTTCTTGTCTTATATGAAGCAGATGAAAAGCACATGATATACACATATGTTTATCGGTACTTGAATGTTTTAAAAACTTTATTCGTTTAGAAAAAAATCACATGATAACTTTTATGAGTGACAATATGAATGTTTTTTTTGTAGTTGCATGTCTAACCCCCTTCAGGAAGTAAAACTTGCAGTCAGCTGTCTCCACCTCTGGAGTTTTAGTCCATTCCTTTCCACTGAACATTTTCTCTCACATGACAAAGTCCTACAACACTTTATTTAGATTATGGCCAGGACAGCTATTTTAACAGATGAACAATTATGTTAACTGAGTTTGATTTTCCTCCCATATCATTGTTGCATTTCAAGATTAAAAAAATATCTAACGTTTCCTGTCCAAATCAAGAGGAATTCGGAATTCAGTGTCACCATAGAAACTTCAGCTATGCTGAAATCTCAGCTGACCAGAGGTTTAGTTCTAATCTGACTATTGAATGAACTGTTTCCAGCAGTATTGCTAAAATAATCCGCAGATAGAGACAGGTTCACATTCAGACCAATGATATTGATATATTTAAAGATATTTCTGACTTTATTTCTCAACAAGTAAATAAATGGATTCCAGTATAGACAGCTTTGTTTGTGAACAATGCATATTCTTCTTTTGTTTGGAGCCGTGCGCGTCAAAGTTAAGCCTAAAACTAATTTAGGGATTCTGAAGTCTTTGCCAGTTCATGTCGACATTGAAAAAAATCCTCTTGGTTGCAAGTTTATAGAAAAAAGAGATTTTTTTCGCATCAAAACAACCAACCCATCTGAGTGCAGAGACCACATATTAGCCTGTATTTTTAGTCTGTGGCTTTCCTCACTGCTTGGACCACAGAATAGTTCCGCTGCTGAACACTGTCTGGGAGCAAAGGTCATGGTTGGACTCTCTTTTTAGGTTTGGGCTAAATTGGGGTTCAGCGCTTAAACAAAGGTGAAGGATTTGAAGTATGGCACAGTGGAAAAATATGTCATACTATTCAAAGAGTTATAGCATCCTCTTTTTATGTCCAGCATATGAAGCCAATGAATAAGAGGAAAAATTGAGAAAGGGAAGGTTGATATTTATTGTCGCTTTTAGATATAGTCTGAACGAAAGTCTGCTGACCTACATTTGTTCCACCGTTTCAACGTGCAAACCCTTTGAAATCATGAAAAACTCTGTCAGAGGGCAACATTGGTGATTGGAAGTAATGAGCAGCAGCTAATTGTACAGATGCATGTCTGTGGCCTTTTTTAAAACAAGTCTATTTCTACATCAGTTGGCAGAATAGCATAGACAAAAAAAGATTATTGTTTGTTTGCATGTAACTTTATTGAATGATGTGAATCTGCATCTGTGACTGTGCCTTTCGTCTGTTGGATTTACCATCCTCCATTTTCTCCTCCTCACAACTAAATCTTTCAAATGAAACGTCCCAAGAATCCCAAAAACATATGATTCCTATCTCCATATTCATGAGCCCTGCGCTATCATTGTTCAATGCGTAACTCTAAGCAGATGGATAACACTGAATATGTGCAATTTTGAAGAGCACATGCAAGAGATGGAAAACAACAATAGCTGAGTGTAAAGGGGACTGGACTGCAAGATTTGAACTGCCTTTTACTAAGGCTCTGATCTCAAATCCGAAGATTTGCCGTGCAGGAGAAAAGGTGAGCTGGATCATGGGAGCTTTGAGTAACCAGCTGCACCAGAGATACTTTCTGCCCTGTATATTTCAAACCACCATCCAGCCAGTAATAAGGAATACATCTTTGCTTAGTGGCCCAATGGATATAGCAGGATGGCTTCTTGGAAGACCATTGTTTCAGATATTAAAAGAACAGAAAGGGAGGAGGTGAAGGATTTTGAAAAGCAACATAACTTGCCTGATTTGGTCACCCTGCTCTTTGCCATACGTCGTGGCCAAAGAAACAGACCCCTTGTGTCATGCTGACACAGACGGCCTCCCCCCCGGATGCTCTGTTGTGCCTGGTGATTTCCTGGTTTGATTTCTGTTCCAGCACTCTGTTTAGCTCATGGCTGCCCCTTCTGACCTGTTCAAAACCAACCTATCACACCCACAGACTTACAAGTTCAGCTGAGGTTTCGAGAATATTTGTCTATAAGTCTGGGAGAGCTTTTAAAAAGCAGCTATTTCTGGTCATCTGCCACTGCAATGTGCTGACCCTCAGGCCACTTCCTGTATGAGGTCACCAACTCAGGAAATATACGTCAAACGGGAGACAGTGTAACAGTGCAGAGGAGATGGAGTGGGTGCAAACACAGATGCAGGCTCCTGCATTTACAGCACCAGAATCCTTACAGCGACTCAGTGTGTGTGTGTGTGTGTGTGTGTGTGTGTGCGTGTGTGTGTGTGCGTGTGATGTCAGCCTTATTGCATTTATTGCCCTGGCTGTCTTCACCGTGCTTCCTGTATTTCCATTTATTCTACAACCAAGTCACACCGAGTGTATTTAAACAGCAGCCCTTCTCCACTTATATTTAGCACATCACAATGGTAAGAGCTGACATTAGATTGAGCGCGTGCACATCATTATAGAAGTCTTCCATTTGGCGTCATCATCCCAAGCCATGGCAAAACCCTTACCGTGAAAGGCTGGTATGTTTTTAAGGGTCATGAGCTCTTTTTTGAATCATTACATCCCAGGGTACATTCTTGACTCGCTGTAAAATCATAAATGGGTTTTTCCTCACCAAGCAAATGATTTCCCACTCATCTGCAAGTTTTGTGCACCTCCACATGTCACGGTTTTCCTCTGCACACCTGCCTCTTTAAAATGTACTTAACTCATGACAAGTTTTAAATCTCCCTGACAGCTGTTTACAGCAACGTAATTCCTGTGAAAGAAATGTGCTGTTTCCAACCAAAGTACTGGATAAATTCATTTATGTAATATGTTTTTTTGTAAATATGTCTCAACATAGATCGGGGGGGGCAGTTTAATGTATGCATTCAGCAAAAGGACTAGTAAATGTAAAATGTTTAGGGACACTAAAGGTGAAATTATAAAGGACAACTTATTCTAGTGATAGTTTATATTTACTTATACACATCTACTTATACGGTCTCTAAGTTTTGTTCCCCTTTGATTGATAGTTGTCCCTGATGGTGAAGATGATCCCGAGCCCAGACTGGTTTGTGGGTGTGGACAGTCTGAATCTCTGTGAGGGTAACCAGTGGAAACAGGAGGTGACCCTCAACCTTCAGCCGTACGATGCAGGGACAGACAGTGGATTCACTTTCTCCTCCCCAAACTTCCCCACCAGCCCCGCAGAAAACATCACAAAGGTATGACGCCGTCATCTGTTTATGTCCTTTACTTCGTCATCAGTGCGTTAATTCTGTAGGAGACAAGGTGGATGGGCCGTGTTTCTTTTTCTTAGAAAGAGAAACCAACATGGGAATGGGACATCATTCTTAGCTGTCTGCACCTAAATTATCTTGGCAGCCCTCGCGTCTGACCTGAAGTGGTTTGAGTAAGAAGGGCCTCCCTTACGTAACAAAGCATCCCTCTGTTTGTGGCACGTGTTTAAGCGCGGGTTATTTTGCCTTTACATTTCTGCTGATTACCCCTTGGGCTCCTCTGATGAATTGTCCTCTGCCGACCTGTTCAGATCACGTCTCAGATGCCCAACCACCCGGCCAATTCCTTCTACTACCCGCGCCTAAAGGAGCTCCCACCCATTGCCAGCATAAAGATCAGCCGACAGCGCAGATCATCTGACCGTCAAACCCTGATGTCCAATCACATTCTGCCGAACTCCATCAGCCCCCAGCGGTTCTCAGGTAGGACACCAGGGCTGCTTCCTCCAGTGGAAAACACACATTCTGCTTTGCCATGTCCGGGCTGAAAATGAAAACAGATGGTTAGATGGATGAGGGGAAGTTAGACACAAAACACATACATCTCTTTTCACCGTCATGTGAAGGAAAAACCCCACAAAAAAACAGGAATGGAAAAAGCATTTGATCCTAGCCAGGTCTTAAAGTCAAACTAATACAAGCTGAGAGGAACAACAACTCATGACCTGTTACACCACGTTGGGGTCTTGTGTAGATGTGATGCTGTACTTCACATATCTGTCTGCCGTTATATTCCAGTTTATACCTTTTCAGCTATTAGATACCGGGCCTCTCATCTGATTACAGAAAACTTCAGTTTAAAGACTCATTGACGGCAAGGTGCTGCATTTTTAAGATATTTCTTATCGTCTTTCCTCTTTAATGTTGTATTTACACAGATTGCATACATTCCGCTTGTCAGATGAGCACCCTGACAAAACTTTAGTTTCTGAAAGATTCTATCAATGATGCTGATATGTACATCAAAAGAAACAGATTTTGAAGATTCAAGCAATAAAGGGTGTCCATTACTTCTATGTTCTCTTTGGCTTAGTTTTTGTAAATGAATTGTTATTTACCTGAAATCACTTAAGTACCTCTTAGAGTCAGTCAGGACCAGATAATTATATTATTATTATGTGTGCTAGTGTATAAATCTTTCAGTCTTTCCAGTGACTTAAACACACAACACACAAAGAGAGAAATAAATGTTTTAATCGCTTTACTTTTATAATTTGGTTTGTTCAGTTTGACGTAATTGTCCATTGTCCCTCCCACTTCAATACAGCTACACCTCTGGACTGTGAAGTCTCCCTCTGGTCGTCCTGGGGTCTGTGTCTGGGTCCCTGCTCCAGGGGGGGCGTTCGTCACCGCACGCGCTACATCCTCCTCCGGCCAGCCAACGCGGGCAGCCCCTGCCCTGAACTGGAGGAGCAGGCTGAATGCATACCGCACAGCTGCATGAAGAAACGGCAGTAACAGCGAGCAGGAGCACAAACACAGCCTGTTTTCAGCTCAGTGCTGGGAATTTCTGTTATCACTGCAGGACTGAGGAAACATAGTTCATCCTGAGCATCTACCTGATGCTGTAAAGGATGTTTTTTTTTTCCTTTCATTGCAGCCGAACCGTGGAAGTTACCAGTCCACTGCCTTGTGAGTTGAAGCTAACACTGCTCTGGGTGTATTTTAGTTGTCGTGAAAAAATGTTTTTAAGTTAAAAGACAACAGATTAAATGTTAAGTAGAAAGTAACTTATGAAATGCTGTACAATCGCATTACCAAAAAAAAATGAAATAAAAAATCAGGGACATCACTTGTACATACAAGATGCATGTGGCCATGCAGGCTTACACTCTTGAATGAATCAGCAACTAACGTTTATCCAGAACAGGAACCTTTTCACTATGAGGCAACAATGCTAAACATTGCACTGCCCTGTAGCCAAAATGAACATTGAGTATAATGGCCATTATTTGAGACCTGTACAAAAGAGTACTGAGATCTAATTGCATATGTTACAACTCAGAAGCGACACTTTTTTTTCAAAATATCTTCTTTTCTTTTAATAGAATTCTTACCTGGTGTGCCTGCAACTTGTTTGAAAAACCGAGACAAGGGCAACATTGTACTGGAAATGTTGTTTAACATTCTATGACCTGTTACGTTAATGGGTAACAGGTCATGACTTTCCAGGGCCTGTGTCTATTGATGTGGAAATTAGGCAAATTGGAGAGCTGTCCCGACAAATTTGAAATTCATCCAAAGAAAATCCCGGACACAGTGTGCCGCAGGCTAAATGTGGGAGCATTCAACTTATCATCAAGGCACAGTTTGAAAGCCAGTATCTGTGGGGCTGCAATAGCACCCATGGCTTGAGATTTAACACCTGTGTAGGCATCGGTAATCAGACTGAATGCAGGTTTGGACCAACATGAATTGCCAACCAGATGAAACAGTTTTGTAGGACAGATGTTGCTTATTTCAGCAAGTCAATCACAAAACATATTCTGCTCTTATTGCTCCAGCATGGCTTTGTATAAAAGCCTCTGGATGCAAAGTGATCAATTTGAAAGCTGATCAGTCAGAAAATGTTTGGATGATTCTAAAGCAAGAACATATATAATAATCATTATAAGAATTAGAATGACTTCATTTTTTTTAAATAAACCAAGCATCTTTTTAGTGTTTTGGAAAACATTGCAGGATTTTTCCAACAGTTGCTGATGGTATCAAATTTGATATTAAAAAAATCTAAATATTTGATTATGCGTAAAGAAGAAACACAGAGATAAAGGATGAGTCTTCTCAAATACATGTAGACAAATCTTGTGGTGAGTCATGAGGGGTTTAATTTAAACTGTTGAGTGACAGATCTCCCACTGCTACATGTCGTCACACATTCACAGAGATCTCTGCACAAAGGTTCTTGATCGTACTGCATCACCTCACAACCACAGAGGCATTAGTTTGGCTCGTAAAGTTTGTTCAAAATAACCTCACGCCCTATTTATAAAGGTCTTCTCTTAAAAGAATCAACTCATAGCTGACTTGTGTAGAGCCAGTCCAAAGAGAGAAGTACAACAGATTGATGATTAAAAAATAACTACGTTGTTATGATATTGTTCTCTTTTGCTATTTTAATAATTCAATTTTGTACATACTTGATGACATATCTGATCATGTATCACCTCTGAATAAATATGTTTTTTAAAGATAAAAAAACCTCTGTGTTCCAGTATTCTTGCATTGTTTTCAAGTCTTATTATGTCATTGTGCTTCTGAAGGTGCACCTTCATTTAAATCTCCCAGGCGAAGGTTACAATATTTTCTGAGACAATAAAAGTCACAATGCCAGAAGCTTATAGATACATATCTAATATATCACATTCCTAAACGTGATAACCTTTTTTTTTGTGTTTTTGCCCATGACTGTTTTATCTGTGTGATTTAAGCTAGCAGGACCCCCCTACTGCACTTCAAGGAAGGGTTTGTAGCAATGTAGCACCTTCTAGTGGTAATAATCACCAAAAACAATGCCACAAGAACACCATCAACACCACGACCAATGATGTGCACTGTAGTGATCATTACAAAGGAGTAAAACAAAAAAACAAACAAACAAAAAGAGTGCGCTGTGAAAAAAACAAAAACTAATAAACTTAATATTATCAAGATGCGCATTAGTGTGAAACCGTCGACAATGAGTAACCCATAACAAATCTGATTTTGTAACCAATGAGAATAAAGATCTATATCAACTCCTAACCTCCACGGTTGCTTTGGATCGACTAAATGAAAAATTGTGTATTATAATATTTACTTGTGGGGACGTTTGCATTTTGGGCGAGGTGGTCCACCTCTTCTTGGCACTGCGGGGAAAGTGTTCCACGTGTCTGTCGCTAGAGGTCGCTGTTCGTCCATATTTTCTCTGTGTCCGCAGTGCTGCCAGTTTACTAGGAGGAGTGCGTTTGATTGTTGCAGAGCTCAATGGCGGACAGAGTAGGATAGTCGCGTTAACATTGAGGACAAAAACGTTTTGACTGGGTGAGTTTCTGGCGTGACTAGCTCCGCCGCCGCATGCCTCCCGGTGTAGCGGATGGAACGGGCCCCACTGTGCATCAACGTTTGATAAAGAGCAGCTGCATCTATTTCCCACTCGCCCTCAAAACGCTAGCTTTCTTCAGTTCCCATCCCGAGCGGAGAAGTTACACTGTTCATGGTGGCTCACTAGAGGCAGCTAGCTTGTGAGCAAACCATGGGGGACTCTCTCGAACTGATCGGGAAGCGTCTGCTTTTGCTCCTTGAAGACGGCAGGTCCACGAACGGCTCCGAACAGGAGAAACCCGTGTGGGCCCGGGACTGGCTACGGGGAACTGTGCGGGCAGTGAGCGTCATCGGCCTGTCCGCTCCGGAGGTTAGCGGAGGAGGGGAGGCGACAACAACAACCACCGCTGCAGGGCTGACGGTCAGTATTTACCTGCTAGAGGTTCCTTGTTGCTCCGCTAAATTCTCATTTATGTATAAACATGCCTCCTCAGGTACATATAATGTATGTCTTTAACCTCATTCGGCTTGTGTGTACGTGTTAGCGTCTGTAGACTCGTCGGTATGTAACGTTAGCTGGTTCGTGTCTTAGCTTGTTACGATTCGCGAGGAGGCAGGCGGAGCTAAACTCGAGGCCGGGGATTTTCTGGCCTTTGCTTTGTTCGCTCTCTAGCTTTTTGACATCTATCTGGGGCAGTATTATTCAGAGTCAGTAAGGACTCACAGGTAAGCAGACACAGGCCTGAGGTAACTAAAGACTCAAAATATTGTAAGTAATCGATCACAAATTACGCACCACGGAAATAGGTAGCCAGTTTCCACCGTTAGCTTACGCTTGTTAAAGGCCTTATAAGTTCACGTAGGGGCGAAGTAGGCATAGCTTCCCCTTTTTAATCGGGTCATAATAGTTTTCTGCTAGGTTATTGCACGATTTTAAAATGCAATGAATGACAATTCATTTTTGAAGATTTGCTCAGTCAGCAGCTGTAGAACACATATACTGAAATTTAAATTGGTCAGGAAATTGGGTGGTGCGGTAAGATCAACATGACAGATGAGTACAACCGTCAAAACATTAAAGTTCTGTGTTAGTTATAAAGTATTTGAGTATGTTTTTCTTATTGAATAGCAAGAGGTCTTGTATATTGAATTAGTTACATTTTAAAATCCATTCAACCATAATGTAAACAAAGGGAAAGCAGAGGCTGTATTTACCTACTAGTGTATAAAATATGTTGCAGTAACACAATCTTAACAGGATGACAATCCATGTGAATCTTTCGGTATACTATATTTTTTCTTTCTTTGAAGAACAGTAAGCATTGCAACAACATTTCTTTGTACATTGATTTAGACTGCTGTGTGCGTTGTGAAAAAAAAGTAATGGAAATATTGGAATGACTTAAAACAAAAAAAGAAACATCAGTGGAGAAAATGGGAGATTTTAGTAGGGGTGTGCGGATAACGGGGAAAAAACTTACTAAAGGAATGCTGGACAAAATTCGGAATTCTTGAAAAAAATGTCTATCTGAAACTGTTAACCTGTGCTTCGAGCATCACAACAGGTGAGTTGCGTGCACTATTCATTATTATCTTATAGCAGGGGATTATACAGTTATAGCACTGTTCACCATAATCTGTCTGTTCAGGCTAAAGATATTTGTTCTTTATGCAATTTGTCCAGTAAATAATGTTCAAATGTATATTTGTACAGCTGTAATTGAAAAGAAAGTAGAAATACTTCTGCAGTTTAGACATTAGAAATCTCACAAAGCTAAAATAATAAGTGTTATCAACACAGCTGAAGGCGCCAGCACACATTTACCAAACACTGTTTCAGATTTTTCTCTGACTCTGTTAGCCCAAGCATTGTATCAGTTGAAGAAGGCATCTAGTGGCTCATTGGACCCAAATCACAGCAATGCTTAAATATTCTTTGCTAAACGGCACTTCACTGCTGGTTGTGGGAAAATCACAGCGGATCAGAGGGAACATAGACAAAGTGGATCTTCTGAAGATCTTATTACTTCAGGCAAAGCGTTGTTATGCATATTTAGTAACACTCGCATTGCCTGTTGGAGAATCACTTTCTAAGATATAGTTGTACTACACTATGAAGCTTACTGAATACCCAATCAAAATAAAAAGAGAGCTTTTAAGTGTTCAAGTTGTTAGCTGTAAGCTGCTACTAAGTACAGTCCAGAGACTTATTGACCGAACCACACACACACACACAATTCACTGTGCAGAAACGGCATACCTGATGGATCAATATAAATATCTTACTTCTTAACTGGCATCTGTTAGAGGAATGTACGAATATATTTGTGACTGGGATAGTCATTTGAAGTGATTTGTAGTTTAAAAGTTATTATAAACTGTCTTTCAGAACAGACTTACTACTTAGATTTAAACATGTTGCATTTGCTGCACTTTCATTGGATGAGCCTGTGCAGTTTCTTGGTGGTTAGTTTCTGCTTAGAGTTGTCCTTTTCTCTAAATTTTTCTAAAAATTTCTCTGAAATAGTTGTTTAAAGCCATCTAAATCCCACCCAGGAGGCTCCTAATGGGTTAGCTTTTGGACTGCTGGGGCCAGGTCATGACAGAAAACACACGTCCACTTCATAAATTCTGGCGTGGTTATTTTGGAAAATGACAATCCCATCAGGGATGGAATTCAATTGATGGGAAAAAGGCAGGTTGAATATTTTTGGGGGACTTTGTTTTTGCATGCTGACTCTTTTTTTCAAAGGGTGGGTAGATCTTATGAGTTCTTATGAAGTCAAATTCATGTTTACCTCTAAACATGGTTGGGGTGGAGGTTTCCATCGTTTGCACTTTCATGTATGGTCTCCTTAGCTAATTTCTAACACCGAAGAGGAGAGCACAAATTATGCTTTGTTTTTCTGTAAGTATATTCTATTGTAAAAATGGATTGTTCTTTAGTTGTAAATGAACAAGGTGTATCTGAACCAGCAGTAAGATGGTCAGATCTTTTCTTCTGCAATGTTCCTAAAGATAACTGATTTAAAGTTCAGTTTAAAGTAGAGAAAGATGTCAACAGGAGTTTAAATGCTCATCTTGCAGTTTTCTTCCATAAAACTACAGAACTCTGTCATTTGTTGAAGTACAGGGATTTGCAGTTGAAACCATCAGATACAAACCAGCCCGAGTGGGATTACAACACGTTAGCGCCTCTGTGTTTGTCGCTGTAGCCGACACTGTAGCCGTGCTCACAAAAAGCACTGGAATCCTCAAATATCCTGGAGCTCCTTGAGGGTGGCATCTTGTCTTTGGCAACAGTTAGAAAATGTGAGGACCGTGCAGCTACTCATCTGCAGCATTTACAGCAGCGTGAGAGCTGGTAGAAGTTTCTGCTTCATTCATTCTCTTTTCTGCTCATGCATTCATTCATTCATCCTCTCCTACTGTGCCCACGTTGGGGTATTGCTATTGGCTCAACAAGGTGCTCCACCTGCTGTACTCGGCTTATTGTGAAGGCAACACATGGTTTCAGCTGCTTCATTTTTGCCTTATCGGTTCCTGGCTCAACTCTCTGTGTGCTCAAGGTTGAGATTCTCCAGCAGCCCTTTCACTACATTTCTGGCTGTGAGAGAGTATCTATGTAAAAAAAAAAGAAACTCCTGTTGTAACACAAACATTAGCAGAAATTAGGAAATAATGTGAAACAAGGCTCTCCTGAAAAGGCTCGGTTGTTGGCGTGTGAAAACCATTAATGTTGATACGTCAGTGCATGTACACGTGTCGCTCTTAGGAGAGTAAGCTGAGGAATTGTAAAGCAAAGTGCTTAAGCCGGGAGTGGCCCCGCTGTGTACTTGTCAATGTGAAGGATTGGACTGATAAGAACTCACAGCTAGTGTCACCGAGCCTGCTGCGGGACACGCAGAGAGAGCAGAAAAGGCTGTCGTTTCACCACCGTCTTCTCCACAGCTATTTCTACTCTGCTGTTTCGTGGGTGGGATGGGCTAAATTGGCTCGACAGATTAAAGTGCCCTTTGCGACATACACAAACAGTGTAAAGATCTTCTTACTGTGATAAGATGACTTTGCATTGGTGCCATTAAATGAACAACAAACAAATGGTTTTGTTTTGTTATACCATGACCAACAACATGTATCTCACAATGTTGAAATCTTAACTAAATCCCTGTATAAATCTTAAATTCTGTTCTGTGATACAAAAAATAATTGAGTGTTATTGACCCTTTACTTATTGAGGCTAAGAATGGCTGTCTAAACATATTTTTGCCAACAAAGTATGCTAAAAACAACATTTCTACTATTCACACGCCACAGTACAGCAGCATCCTCCCTATTGCCCTCCTCCTCCTCCTCCTCCTCCTCCGTGAACCCTAGCAACCCTTTTACAGTTCTTGGTTCTTCCAACTTTAAAAATGTATGTAATAACACAGACACACAAACACAAGTCATGCTCTTTAGAAAAAGAACACTTTCCCTCGCGCTATTTTTCTTCTCTTCTCATGCCTTTTTTCTCCACCGTCTTCCATCCAGGTGGCAGTTTAGCCGGCAGCGTTCCACACGACTGTAGTGTCAACAATACATCACGCCGCGACACAAAAAAACACATTCTCAGCTCTTTGTCAGCGTCAGAATTTTTAAGTTTGAGCAAACGTTGACAGAGGGCCTACGCTGTGGCCGTAGGTCTAAAGTATCCTTATGTTTGACTCTTAAATGTTTATTTTGTATTATAAAGGGATCAACTTTTCATTTGCACTGAAATGCTTTAAACTAAAAAAATTAATTCTAACAAACATTTAAAACCTGAATTGCACTTAGTGTCACAGATCACGTCCTCAGACAGAGAAGTCCTAGTTTTGACCATGAAACCACTTGGATAGGTAACAGAAGCTGTTTGTTTTTGTGGTTTGTTGGTTCTAATGTTTACACATCATAATCTGCTCAGGTCTTTGCTTTGCAGCTGGTTCATGTGACCTTTTCTTCAGAGATGTGGTAATGGAGCAGATGTAATTTCTGGTGGTGAAAGGTGTTAGCAATACTCTATTTTGTGGACTTTCTTTTATCCAGAACATTGTTACTAGTGCCATTTTTTGTCTCCATCTGTTCACAAACGTGCTGGAGCGCTCTCCTCATTACTGAGGTTTCTCCATGAAACAAAAAGAGGTTTGAACAAAGGGGGTTTTCTGTATGCTGTCTACTGTGTTGGGCATTCAGGGATGGCTACACGATTTGACTAAAATGACACAGAGGCATTTAAAATAATGTTCAAACACTTGATAAGCAATGGCCCTGACGTAGTATTTTAACATGTCTGACATGAAGGAACATCGCTTATATCAGGTCCACCCATAGTTTTTATCTTAAACCTCAAAGAAATAACAGTAGACTGACGCTGTTACCAAAGATTCATACCTTTTGAGTTGATGACGATCCCGGTTTCATTCCTAACATTGCGTTTTTCCTTTTGACATATTTGCGTTATTAGTTTGTACCTGCATGATGACCCTGAGCAAAAATACCACTGTCTCACTGAACCGCAGCAAAAGGTCAGAACCGTGTTATTAGAAACAAACTGATTCAATGAAAACAGCTTTTCCATTTAATAGCATCCCCAGATAACAACAAGACTTTATACAGAAGTGGAAAGGTGAGATTCGGCAGTACTTCATGTCAGTGTATGCCGTGGCTAAATGAGAGTTTGAGAGGCAGAGAATTGGATTAGCTGGATGAGGGCCCTCTCCCTCACTAACCTAGGACTGTAGGTGAAGCTGCAGCCACCTCTTTGCCAAGCCGTCTGACGGAAACCCTGCCAGCCCCATTCCCGTTCAGCTTGTAGGAAGGATGGAAACCAAAAGCCAGCATGTTATTGGGACGGAGCAGCCGCAGTTGTTTCTCTTGGTAATCCCTATCGGATAACCACATGAAAAGCATATTTTCCTTATTACAGAGCAGTAATAACTATTCTCAAAGAGAAAGGCTCTTTACACAGTTTAATTACTGGTGGATTTAAATGCCTCACCAGAACATCTGGATTTTTAGACAGAATGGTGATGCACTGGATGTGAAGGTCCCTATTTAGTGCAGCTGTGCAATACCTTTTCCCAGGGTCCCCCTAACGGTAGGATATATGCCTGGATAACGTCCATACAGAGGCGACCACGAGGCATGGGGAGCATGAGGTCTTTCCCCCTCAGTTTCATCAGTTTTTCCTTAATTGCTGCACCAAATTAAGTAGCATACACAAGCCTAACACAAGGTTATAACAAGTTAATTGAGACACGACTTCTTTCTTTTTTTTTGTAACCCTGTTGCTCCTGTTATTTGGTGAGTAATATTACGGCTGAACTTTCAGCCCTAACAACACAGTTATCTTCAAATGCAAACAGTCAGACTTTAAAAGTCAAATGTGGGAGTGCAACTCTGATGCTTACAGTTTGGTTCTTTCTGTTCTCTGCGCAGGTGTTTGTGGAGTTTGAAAATGCCTTGCAGCGGTGCTCATGGGTGCAGGTGTATGATGAGATGGTGAAGGCCGTGTTGGTTGAGGACTCCATTATCTGGGCCAGCCGTGCTGACGGCAGCGGGACGGCGGGCGGTGCAGTGCCGACCTCAGCCTGGCCTGCTCTGGTGAGTCTACACTTCCAAAAACCTGTTTTTTTAGGTCGTGGTGCAAAACGAGTGAGTCGCCTAAGACAAAGGCTGAGGGTCTTCGTCAGTTTTAATGTCATGTGTCATTTTGAACATTTAGCTCTTTACCTCTCCTTTCTTCTCCAGAGCTGGAATATGTCTCCACACGTTGAAGTAACCTCTTTGTGTTATTCTGCAGGTTTTCCGCTCACTTGTGGACAGAGTGGGTTTAGGTGCACTGGTTCCAGTGGAGTATTTTGGAAACAAGAATTTTGAGTTCCTCCCTGATAACAAATCGGTGCAGAAGTTTGAGGTGTGTACATGTTTTTTGTGTGTTGCCTTCGCCCTATTGCAGCCACCAGCTCACTGGGTGTAGGAGCTGTTTGATAGCCATGTCTGGCCCATGTCTTTGAAACACAAGAACATGGTGTTTGTCTTTTTTATTCTAACACTGTAATAGTGTTTTTTGTTCTCTGTCATTTGGTCATTATGTTTGACAGCTATGTAGATTAGAAGTTGTATTTTATCGCAGAGCTTATAATAAGATGGTTGCTTCATGGTGTCGTAACATACATGCTGGTTCCTCAGGTTTACACTGGTCTCATCTCATTCATGTGATATTCCATTAAGGTTGCTTAGAGTTTACAGAACGTTTTGCATTTCTGTGCAGTTTGACAAAGACATCAGACACTCTTTGCTGCTGGAGCATCCCTCTCTGCAGGCCACCATCTCCAGCTGGCGAACTGACTTTGAACTTCAGGAGATCTTCAGAAAGGGTAGGAGGCAACCCCCAGCAGTCTGTCTGTCTGCCTCCCTGCTTGTTCTCTTCCTCCTTAGATTAAACTTTTTAATATGCAACACTCAGATGCAACACTGCAGGTGAACAAAGTCAATTTGAATTTCTAGGTGTCACCATTGTTTTCCATGCATTAGGACAGTTATTTCTGTGTGTTAAGTTTTCTTAAATCTTATGCGTGAAAAAGATGTCAAAAAGCAAACAAATGTGCCAGGTAGAATGCATTTCCCCCCAAAAAAATCAGAACACTGGATAAAGCAGGGTTTAGACATTATAATGAGAAGAAAAGCCCATTGTTGGGTAACCAGCCTTTTTAGGATCACATGTTTTAAAAAAAAACGTGTCCCGTTTTCCTGTGCAGCATCATGGCAGTCAGAATGTCTGGCTTCTTATGCCAAACACATTTGCTCTAAATCAAAGGTTGGACATCCTTTGATCTTATCTGAATCATAAAAACATAGTCACAGTAACACACAAAACTGCTTACTTAGAGTGACTCACAATTCGTGAATAAACCACGAACCGCTCCTTTTAGAAGAGCAATGTCCCCACAATATTTTAGATAACATTGTCTACACTGTAATTCAAAACATGGATATCTTTCTTTAGACGTAGTTGCGAATGATCAACAGATACATTTGTTTAACTTAAATGTCCTGATAAGGTTTTCACACAGATTAGATTTATCATGCGAGACTCAGTGATTGAATGCAACATTGGGTGCATGAAGCTATGCGCCATAAGTATGGAACATCAACCATTGGATGGTTGCCACATCCAAATGTACACTCTGTTGGTCACCATCTCTGTTTTACCAGACTTTAGAGAAAAAAGTTTAAACTATCTACAGTAGTTGGTTTGCTAATGCGGAAAGAAGTGTCGGGTTTGGTTTGGTCCACATTATGCTGGAATTTGTCAAAGGGTTGAATAACGATTCCTCAGGGGGGATGGCATTTTGCACATATCTTGGAATGGTACTATGCTATCCAGTGTTCTGCCTTGTTAGGAGTTTGGCGTTGACCGCCTTTCCATGGTTTTCCATGACAGTGAGCATTTGTAGGTTGATGCTGAGTTTGCTAAATATTGTTTGGTACTGCAGTCACTCAGCGGCTGATGACCATTCCAGACAAACTGAAGAATGCAATGAGAAACGAAAGGTTCTGATTGTAACAGTTTTCCAGTCGTGAACAGACAAAGGCACAAAGCGTCATGTCAGCATTTTTGGGACTCAAGTAGTCAGGTCTAGGAAATAAGTTATCCTGAATTCAGAGTTGACAACTAAAAGTAACACAAAGTCTGTATAAATTGTAGTTACAGTGAAGCCTCTATAGTTAAAGGGAAATTGCCGCCATCAGAACAATAAAGTGTCTCTGAATCGAGTTCTTTCTTTTCTCAATTTTCTTGTTTTCAGGTTCATACACTATCCAAGGGCGCAGGGTCCGTGTGTACCAGCCCGAGTTTGAAGACTGCTGGGCCTCTGGGCTGGTCTCGCAGCATGACCCTATCTCCCACATCATGGAGATTACAATGGATAAGGTAACGTTTCCGCTCTGTGCTCACATATTCTGCTGGCCAGTGTGCCAATGGACGCTGTGTAAAGATGTGCTTATTTGTTTGCTGTAGGGGGAAGAAACTCAGATGGTTGATCCTCGTGTGATACATGTCATGCTAACAGAGGAGGTAATGTGTTCACTGGGCTTTGTATGATGTTGGTACTCAATGTGAACTGCACCCCCTAGTGGTCAACATAAGCAAAACGTCGGGTTGCACATTAACTGAAGTTTGTTTGACCCATCAGTCTCATAACACACATCGTGTTGTTTCTGTATGTTTGTGCAGATGACAATGTTATTAGTTACGTTGTTAAAGGTCAGTTTGACTCCCATTATGATAGATATGACAGATACAAAAGTAACTATAATATAAACCCCACAACTTTGTTCAGTGGTAACATGTGGTAAAATGACTTAATCTAAACATAAAGTTCATTAGATTAAAAAGGTTTGATTAACTGTTCAACGCTGTTTTGCCCCGTTAGCTCGGTAAGAATGGACGGCGACGAAAAGACAGTGAAACAATGAAGGGAGATGGTGGACGCAGACGTAGGACTGCTTCAGAGGGTGAGGATGACTTGAACTTGAAGCGATTTAAAGGAGCAGGAGATTCTGAAACAGATGCACAAAACTGTGGGGACTTGGACAAAACTCCAGTGGACGGGATGGGGATCTGGGCCGGAGACTCTGCCGAGCGAGTCAGCAGCACAACCAAAAACGGATCCTCCTCAGAGGCAACCCCTCCTCAGGGGAGAGTGTCATCTCCCAACACAAATTCCTCAATCCAGATGGACCAATCAAACGCTACTTCTCCTCGATATCCGGCCCATGTCAAAGAAAATGGCCGCACCCTCTCGACACAAGGCGCTGCAGACTCCACCACGACCATTGCTCACACCCCAACCCCTCCTCCCCTTAAACCAGCCCCCTCTCCCTTCTCCACCACATCTTTTCCCTCACTAGGCCAGATGCCAATCTTGGTCCCTGGGGCTCCGGCCCCCAAGGTTTCCTCATCTCCTCAGCCAGACCGCGAGGAGGCCTGCCAGTCGGCTTACTCTAAAACGGCCGCACTCGTCTCACCGGGGCCTGTCACCATTTCTTGGTCACAAGAAAGTGGCCCGAGTGTTGCACTGTCTGCATCTGTGGGCTTCAGTTCTAAAGCACCTACATGGGGAAGCCAGACTGAGGTAAGACTGTCGGTGTGACCGTCAGAACAAACCTGTGTTGTTTGTAATTCACATCCCTTTACTCCTTCTCCCCATTGCTTTGTGTTTTAGGCCTCTAAAACAGCCTCGGGCTTTCGTTTGACCCAAGCCGTGGCCGCTGCTCCCGTATTTGGCGACGTCACCTCTCAGATTAACGGAGCCCCCATCACTACCATGGCCTCCCAGGACACGCCCAGACACTTTGGTTTTGGCTTCAGTGGAGCCAAGAATGAGCAAGACCAAAACCTGTTTTTTCAGTGCATGAGCCAGACCCCTGGCTCCAGCCCAAATCTAACTGCTGGTCAGACCCAAACCAAGGACACAAACTTCTTTACCGCGGTGTCTGAGAGTCTGAGTAAAGAGCCCCCGAGTCTTTTCAAGCCAGCGACTTCCGCTGAGGGGCTGAAAAAGCCTGAGCAGCCCAAAGTGCCTGAGGCCCATCCGGCGGGAAACGGGGTGTTCAACATGTCGGCCTACCAGAGCGGCTCTCCAGGAGGACACAGTTCTAACTTAACAATCGGAGGTCTTGGTGTGGTACCTGGTTCCCAAAGTGCAACAAAGAAGAATAGTAACAATGGAACTCCTGGAGGGGGATTAGGGCTACACTCTAGTTTTAATTCTTCAGACAGCCACCAGAACATTTTTCTACAGGCCTCAAAATCATCTGCAAATCCATTTTTGGCATATGGCGATAAAGTCTCCCACACACCTTTTGTGGGCCTCACTGGTACTGAACCACAGACCCTGGGTGCGACATTAGACAGTAAGCCTAACCTTTTCAATATGACAGAGCAGTCTAAGGGGATACTGTCCTCCACGTTTCCAGTACTTTCAGCGGCGGGTTCTGTCAGTTCTTCATCCTCCTCTGCACCATCTCAGAATTTACAGAGTGAGGGGACTGTACCAAAAGAGGAGCAAGAAGCTTGCGAGATGCCCACATCCACCTCAGGCTGCCCAATGTTTGGAAGTACTGGCCCTGGTGGAATAGATGAAGCGCCTGTGTCCTTTGACCAGAGCCAATCTCAGAAATTTAGCCTTGAAGAAAGAGGCCAGTCATCTAAACATGACTCGGATTCTAGTAGCAACAGCGATCTCTCAGATCTTAGTGAGAATGAGGAGGGGCTTGAGAAGGGCCATGTGCCCGGAGGACCTCCTCATCCTACCAAGGATGGAGACATTATGCAGAAAGCTAAAGTCAAAGGAGCCCCTAAGAGCCGTCCACGGAACAAGCCTTTCAAAGGTTAGACAATCTTTCTCCTGGAGACAAATGGTATTTGATAGAATACGACTAGAATAGAGAGAATTAAACTACATTGCCTTTTCTTTTTGTAGTGGGTCAATCTGTCCTGAAAGATCAGAGCAAGGTGCGTCGTCTGAAGCAGTCTGGAGAGTCCTTTCTCCAGGATGGCTCCTGTATCAGCGTGGCCCCCCACTTGCACAAGTGCCGTGAGTGCCGATTGGAGCGCTACCGGAAATACCGAACCACAGACGATGACAGCGATGACGAAGACGACCCGAACGTGGCCTGCCGGTTCTTCCACTTCAGAAGGTATGCCTTCTGTTCTGCTGCGGTGGGATCAGTGTCCTGAGAACCCAGGGAATATTCCGGCTCTCTGTTTTTCTTCCTGTCGCCAGGCTGGCGTTCACCCGCAAAGGTGTGCTGCGGGTAGAGGGCTTCTTAAGTCCTCAGCAGAGTGATGCCATGGCCATGGGCCTCTGGCTTCCCGCACCAGCTGTCCAAGAGGGCCTTGACCTTGATACATCCAAGTACATCCTGGCCAATGTAGGAGACCAGTTCTGTCAGTTGGTCATGTCTGAGAAGGAGGCCATGATGATGGTGGAGCCTCACCGTGAGTAGACACAGAAAGTTGTATTGTTTTTTAATTTTTTTCTAAAGGTTTTCCATTTGCTTAGGTAATGTTTGATGCCGTTCTGTTTATGATTGACATATTTTCTGCTGCCCTTCAGAGAAAGTGGCGTGGAAACGTGCCGTCAGAGGTGTCAGAGAAATGTGTGATGTGTGCGAGACCACTTTGTTCAACATCCACTGGGTGTGCCGCAAGTGTGGCTTCGGAGTTTGTCTGGACTGCTACCGGCTCCGCAGAAACAGGCCCCGGGAAGGTAACTTATAGGGTGGAATGTGAAGAATTTCAGTGCTAAGATAACCTCTAAATTACTGTGTTAATGTTTGTGCCCTTGTATCATATCAGTGTGGGCTGTTTGACTTTGTAGAAAATATGCCTCTCATTAAAAACTTCTCTTTAGATATAGATGAAACTCCAGAGGATGAGGTTTTCTCTTGGTTAAAGTGTGCCAAAGGCCAACCTCACGAGCCACAAAACCTCATGCCTACACAAATTATACCTGGGACAGGTAATGTCACGAGTGAATCTTCAGGGAATACCCGTTTTACAAGAGTGACGTATATATTTATGTTATTATTGTTTTGCTGCCCCCTTTAGCTCTTTACAACATAGGGGACATGGTGCACTCTGCAAGGGGCAAGTGGGGTATTAAAGCTAACTGTCCCTGTGCCAGTCGACACACAAAGCCTCTAGTCCGGCCGACTGCCCCCAACGGCATTTCCCAGGTAGGTTGTAGGCCTTTGCCACCTCTGTGCTTTTTGTTTTTGTGCCACATTCTCAGAATAGTTTGAACTTGAAGGTCCTGCTATGTTTTTGTGCCTGTGTCAGCAGTCTGCAACGAGCAGTGGGGGTGGCCTTGCAGCTGCAGTCTCTGCCGCTGGCACCACTCCAAAATCGGAGGCAGACTTGTCAGTTATCAAAACAGAATCCACACCGATGACGAGGCCCTCGGACAGCGGGGGAGGGGAATGCGTGGGTAGTACCAGTAACTCTACCACGGGCACCTGTAATCTCACCCAGTCCTCTGCCAGGGACTCGCGCTCATCGGGAGAGGGCAACAGCTCCGCTTTGCACTGGCTAGCAGACTTGGCTGCTCAAAAAGCCAAGGATGACACAAAGGGTAAGTGGAAGATGGGAAACTCTGAATCATCACTGTTGCAGAGCACAAAGAAAGTTTCAGATTGTAAGTTAAAGCCCCATCCTCCTGCCTTTTCCCCTCCAGAATCCAATTCACTTCGCTCGGTGATGAATAGAGAAGGACGGCCTCCTTTTGGCCTGGACTCACTCAGTGCCCTCTCAAAGCCTTCTGCTTCCAGCCCTAAGCTATTTAACAGCCTGTTACTGGGCCCCAGCATGACCCAGTCAAAGCCTGAGGGATCCAGTCTCCGGGACCTGCTCAATTCTGGACCGGGCAAACTGCCTCAGGGCCCTGGAGAAAGCGGGGTACCATTCCCCTCCGTTTTTACCTCAGCAAGTGTAAGTTCTCAATTTAGTGTTTCAGAGGTGTTCCAAACTTAATAATCTATAAGACAACTCCCAGCTAAGCCAGCCCAGTGGCTGTGCCTCTATAGAGGAAACCACCTGGAGTCCATTGAAATAGCTATTGTTGCATTTATAATTGAATATATTGGGTGTAGTTACAAGCATTCGACGTGTCTCCAATTGAGGTTTTGCTATAACCCCGCTGTTTGCTCATTCAGAGTGACAAACTGAAGAGCAGCCTACCAAACTTCCTGGATCACATCATCGCCTCTGTTGTGGAGACTAAGAAAGCAGAGGGCCGGCGCTCTGGGACCTCTGAAAGTGGCGAACTTGGCGTGTTGGGGGCTCGTAAGGATGGAGTCATGGGCCTTAGTGTTTTGGAACCACATACCTCGCACTCCTGGCTCTGTGATGGGCGACTTCTTTGCCTACAGGATCCCAGTAACAGCAACAACTGGAAGATCTTCAGAGAATGCTGGAAGCAAGGACAAGTAAGAATCTCCAGTAGGATAGCTGAGCACATCTACATAAACATGGAATGGAATCATGAATAAAGGGACAACAAGTCCTTTGGCTTTAAGGGAAATAGCGCTCTGAACCTTTTCTTTGTTTCCAGCCGGTGTTGGTGTCAGGGATACATAAACGGCTGAAGTCTGGGTTGTGGCGGCCTGAGGCCTTCAGTGAGGAGTTTGGAGACCAGGATGTGGACCTGGTGAACTGTAGAAATTGTGCTATTATTTCTGATGTGAAGGTGCGGGACTTCTGGGACGGCTTTCAGGTTATCCCCAGTGAGTTCTCCTTGAAATCTGGTGCATATGAATTATAATTCATGAGTCTGTCTGGTGTCAGCCAAATAAAACAAATGTGTTTTCTGTGAACTCAGAGCGACTGCAAGATGCTGAAGGTAAGCCCATGGTGTTGAAATTAAAGGACTGGCCTCCAGGTGAAGACTTCAGGGACATGATGCCCACGAGGTGAGGAACCCAAGAACCCAGCTTTCAGAAATGCATGCTCTTTCTTAGTTGGTGAAGTGTGTAATTTATTTACTGTTGCTCTTCATAGGTTTGACGATTTAATGGAAAATCTCCCTTTGCCTGAGTACACAAAAAGAGATGGGCGTCTTAACCTGGCCGCCCGCCTGCCCAACTTTTTTGTGCGTCCTGACCTCGGACCAAAGATGTACAATGCCTATGGTAAAAAGGAGTTTCTGTTTCTTCTTGTGTCTGTCCCATATGCATTTATCGTCACCGTCTTTGTTTGACCTGTTTGTTCATTTCCCCCCTCAGGCTTAATCTCCACTGAAGACAGGAGGGTGGGAACCACTAACCTCCATCTGGACGTGTCGGATGCTGTCAACGTCATGGTTTATGTTGGCATCCCTCTGGGAGAGGACAACCACGAGGAAGGTTGGTAGACTTGGCACACACGTGCACACGCACACACTTACACACACACACCATATACACGTTGCATTATCTGACCTGAACAAATAAATGTTAAATAAAATCACTGCTTGATAATTCATACCAGTTGACCTGTACGATCATATTTAAGCCATTTCTTCCTGAACAGTCTTGTAGATGTTACTATAACCTAACCAACAGTTAGGCTTACTGGCTCTAGTTGTTCCAGGCTGGATTTGCTTGGAAAATAGACTGGTGAAACCCTCCAGTGGGTCTCACCAATTTACATTGTGACAAAATTTCTCCTTCACAGAGGCAGAAATCTCTGGACGCAAAGGTCTGTAGACTTTCAGTTGTATCACCTGAGTAGCATGCCCTTCTTCTTGACTAACTCCCCTTTTACTCCTGCGCTACATCTCTGTTGTTGTTTGTGCAGCAGGGGCCAGAGCACCAGGACCTACCCCTCAGTGTGTCCCGTTTCATTTCCTGCACCCCACTCTAAATTTCCGTGCCAATGCAACTTTGATTAAGCTGAATAGCAAACGGCATTCCTGATGCTACCCTGTTGAGATAAATGCTTTAGTCCTCTTTAGTCCTTTAACCATTGTGTGGTTAAAAAACACAATGCTATTTACATGAAATCCGTGTGTCATACTGGGACTTTCCTCCCTTCCTGCTTACCTTGGGTGCACAGTGCTCTGGTCCTTAGACTGTGGGAGAGAAGTTTGAATGAAGGGCATCTAGAATTGGCATTTCTGTTCCTCTCTAGGCTTCTTTTCCTTTCATTACTCAAACACATACCAGCACACTGAGGGATGTGCAGGTGCTGCTTATCAAATACATGGAATTAAAATTATGCCTGGTGTGTCCCACTCCATTTATTAGCCAATGAATGTCAGCAGGAAGAGAATAGCTTCACTACGACCAACTGTTGGTTACTGCAAACTGGCTGGCAATTTACTTCACTTGGTCTTAACCTCCTCCAGTTCTGAGCAGTCAGATATTGTACCCATTCCTGTGCACTAGGGTAGCTTTTGGTGCACACACACATCTTCATCTTGAGGTCAGAGGATTTATTCACACATCACATTTTTATCTTGTCAAGTGAAATAAAAGGAAAAAGGTTCAATCAAACACTGCAGGGTAACTAAAGCCCCGCCTACACATGGGACCCTGTTAGGCCGAGTAGAGGCTCTGGAAAAGACTTTTTCTCTTTTGGAGTCAAAGGTCCACTCAGCAGACACGCATCGTTTCCAATGTCCTTCTGAACCACTGATCAGTCTGGCAAAACGAGATGTCCATGTAGTTTAACTGTGCTGCTCTAAAAATCACCAGTAGGCTGTGGATGTAACTGTTGTGTCAGTACATGTGATCGTGTAGTCTGTAAATGGTCCTCTTACCTGCCCTGGTGGTTCTCAACTGGTTGGCCCCCGAAAAAGTCTTTTTATTCTTAGTTTCTACACAGGTACTATTTAAGAGTTTGCGCTCTTCTCATCTACGTATTTATTTTGAGATAAATGCGTTTCATCTGTGATACTTATAAGCACTATCAATAGTCCTGCTGTTTCCCTGCACGTTTTCACCCTTTCTCCCCTGCCGTGGAGCCCATAACAGCCCCTTTAATCTTATAACTGGGGAGTTGAAATTTGTTCAGTGAGCACCAGATGTTTACAGGTTGAGCTGTTCTCAAAAACAGAAGCTTTCGATGGATTTATGAAAAATTGGCAAATCTCTCACAGGTATCTGAATGCTTGATGGTCTATTTGTCCCTCACAGCCAAACAAAAGAAGTTGTGAGGTGACTTCACATTTCAGCAACAGTTTGATTAATCAAAGCCATAAACTTCTTACCCTATTTCCAGCTTGTCTTGTGATCACATGATCCAGCTGCCATTCCTCCTGGCTGCTTACAACTACACTCTTTTTCATCACGTCTTTGTGGTTAAACCATGAACAGACAGGACCGCTGCTTAGGGGTACGAAAAGAAAGAGATCTTATGAGAAACGATAGAAACTCAGTGCTCTTGAAATTAAAACTTCTCTGGATGCCTTAACATCCAACAAGGGGGTCACAATCTGCCAGTTGAGAACTACACCTCTGCACCATTTGTCAAACAATTGGACTGATGGATGCTTTAACGAGTTAGATTAATAGATGAGGAAATGTAATTAACAGTAACTTCTCTAAGTGTCAGTATGTAGAATCATTTTTGAAAGTGTAATTAAAAGCACTGTTCAAGATATACTAGCAGTCACAGTTCAGAATCTTAAGCTAGATCAAATAAAAACTTTAGGTATTGAGGCACTTGACTGATGAATGCTTTGCATCCTGTATTTGTGTGCATTTTTCTCTCTTTTGGCCTCCAGAGGTCATGACCACCATCGACGAGGGCGATGTAGATGAAATGACAAAGAGGAGGGTGCACGAGGGAAAAGAGAAGCCCGGAGCACTCTGGCACATCTACGCCGCCAAAGACGCAGAGAAGATCCGAGAACTGCTCCGCAAGGTCAGCAGCCACTAGATTTTATGTCCCAGACGTGACAGGAAGAGTCCCCCACAGAGATGGCAGAATTAGTCATCAGTAAGTGGACAGTGGACGGGTTTTGAGCCTATGAACTAAGACATGGCTTTTCCTTACTAACCTGTGTCAGGTGGGAGAGGAGCAAGGCCAGGAGAACCCTCCAGACCACGATCCCATTCACGACCAGAGCTGGTACTTAGACCAATTGCTGCGCCGCAGGCTTTATGAAGAATACGGCGTGCAGGGCTGGGCCATCGTTCAGTTCTTGGGAGATGCTGTGTTTATCCCTGCTGGGGCCCCACACCAGGTCAGACACACCGCACAGCCTGAAGATCAGGATGATTGAAGACACGCAGACACATTCTGCTATCACTGACGCATGTCTTCTGCTTCTGTGCCTCTCCTCTCAGGTACACAACTTGTACAGCTGCATAAAGGTGGCGGAGGACTTTGTGTCTCCGGAACACGTGCGGCACTGTTTCAGACTGACACAGGAGTTCAGACACCTGTCCACAACTCACACAAACCATGAAGACAAGCTACAGGTGGGTGTTTTTTTGGAATTCTTTTCGATCTGGTCTCTTGGACCAAAAAGAGACCTACCTTTTACTGAATGCGTGTGTACTTATAATGGCTGGCTGACCTAAGGCTAAAGGATGAGGAATAAAGATGGAAAATGTGGTTTGAGGCAGAATAACAACCCTTTTGTGTTTGAAGTAGTGCCTTGAACAGGGGGAGGTTTGCACAGATTTGAACTGCATTGGCTAAGACGAATTTTACAAACCTTTTGGTTCATTGAATAGATCATGCTGCCTGTTGAAGTCAACCTAAACATGCAGGTTATGGTGTAATGCTCAGGCTTCCATGCTAGTATTAAATTGTGAATGAAATAAGTTTTTTTGTAAAATGTGAGTAAAACATTCATGAGACACACAGCTGTTATCTCTATCAATGCATCAGCATTATAAGACCTCCTCTTTTTGCTTTTGCTTAGGTGAAGAACATCATCTACCACGCAGTGAAGGATGCAGTGGGGACACTGAAGGCCCATGAACCTAAACTAGCACGCCCCTAGTCCCCCCCCCAAACAACCAGCCACTGAAGATCACTCCACTGCTCAGTGTCGATCACACACCTACATATGTACAAGCTGCAGTGGGCAGAGTACAGGAATCGTGTAGGTCATTTGTGGCAAGGACAGTCTTTTGGGGGAAGGGGGGGGGTTGGGTTGGGTAAAAGAACATTTCATTTGGGGAGGGGTTGGATGGGGGCGGGCTAATCGATGCTTTGGTGAAGGAAGTCCTTCGTCGCTGTTACACAGCACGCTCAAACTTGTCTAGTTGTTTTTCAATTTTTATTATTATTTTTTTGATTAACATTGTATTTAAGATCAGTGTGTTCTGTTTTCATTGTATATGTAAGACGTGAGAGTAAGGCAGGTGAAGCTGACGTGCCTTTGGAGCAGCGTTCAGCTACAATATAAGCAACTGATGAAATGTGAGTGCTGGGCTAACTTTCCTATTTTGATGACATTAATTCTTTCTTCAATAGGAGCGAGGTCAGCCTGTTTTTGTAGATTTTTTTTGTTAAAGTTTGTAAACAGTTGATTGTTTCTGCCCTCTGTGGCTGAAATTAATTTGCGAACCAGCCGGTCAAGGGAAGCAGACCAAAGTTTTGTATTTTTAGTTTTTGTTATTTTTTTTTTTAGAATAAAAGATCTCGTTTTTTTTTCTTGTTTCTTTTTTTTTTATTTTTAGCACAAGAGAAATGAGCGCTTCAGAGAGGGCCGTTTTCTTTTTCACCAGTTTTTTTTTTGTCCAAGGGGTTCGTGAACAGCAGACTTCCAACAATGTTCAAGAATCATAATTGCAGCTGAACAGAACTACTGGCCATTAACATTGTATCAATATATATATTGATCTTAGCAGTCTGTTTGATTTTTCACAATAAAGTTTACAAAAACGACTTAATTTTTTGCCTCTTTTTTTTTTTTTCCTGAAAAGCCCCATTTCCTCCCAACTGGCCTGGGAATGCTGTCATGACATCTGAATTTGGATGACTACGTATTCCAGCAGTCTTAGTAAAAGATTAAAGTCAGAATTTTTCATTAAAAAGGGAGGAGGCGGCTAAACGGGCCACGTCAGCACAATTCTATATCCCAATTTTGACTGAATTCTGGAAAAACGTGACCTCCTTGTATATATATCTCAAATGTAAAGCAATAAAAACACAAATTTGTCCCCCGTGAGTTCCAGGAACTGGTTAGAGTTGGAGTTGGAAACCATACACCATGGACTGGGACCTGACTTCAACCCTTAGTCAGGTGTATTAAAAAAATTAAAAATGAATTGGAGGATTATTATTGCAGGGCTACGAAACTTCTACGTATGGTCTAATTAAAATGACCCCCCTCGGATGGACGCTGGCTGGCTGGACTCGAGCCCTCGGCGGTTATTTAAGCCCGCGACCAGGTCGCTGTCCACCTGTCCAATGACTCCACGGGTCAGCCGTGTCCCGGAGCAGCGCGCCCTGGCCCTTTAAGTCTCCTCAGGAGTGGAGGAGTGGACGGAGGAGAGCGGAGCAGACTGCAGCAGCACTAACCCAGCTGCCGTTTCACCACCTGCCAGCAGAGCAGAGCTGAACCGAGCCGAGCCGAGCCGAGCCGTGCGGTGGGCAGCAGCCTCTGCCTCTCATCGCCACGCCGCGTCCCGAAGGGGAATGGGGGGGCACCAAGCCCGCCTGCTAGCCACTTATTAGAGACCCCCGCGAGCGGAAAAGGCTGACCAGCAAGATGGTATCGTGGATTATTTCGAGGATAGTTGTGTGAGTATGGGCTGGGCTCCATCTGTTGTGGTTGAACGTTAGCTCGGCGGCTCCTCCATTCATCCCTCTCTGGTGCTGAGGTAGCCGTGCCAGTCGTTTTCTGTCCCGTTCTAGCCATACTGTGGGGGTTTTAGGAAAAAAATACTGAGGGTGACTTGGCATTTGGGTCCCAAAATAAGCAGCCGTGGGTGCACTTTGTTGAAACGGTTGTTGTGTTTTTTTGAAAATCGGTGCGGTGATGCAGCACTATCTGCATCCACGGCGGGCTAGCCGCTGGCAGCTAGCGACGCTGGGCTGCTCTAACCCCCCCAACCCCCACCCCAACCCCCCCACCCTGCTGACAGCTGCCAGTTAGCGGTCCGTATTGTTCCAGGACAGCCTGCTTGATATGCCAGGCTCGCCGTGAGCAAGCAAACCGGGACAAAACCGCCCGCCATGGCTCTTAAAGCCGAACTCTGGGCACCGTGAGCCCCATATGTTACCACGAGCTCCTGAGGAGGGATGACGAGGCAGGCCGGGCCCAGCTGCATGCCTGACAGACCTTCTGTCATTGATCAAACAACATTAGTTTTTTTTATATAGATATTCTGTTATCACAAGCTCAGGTGGGGCCTCAGCTGATTTTGTGACAACAGACTCAATGACTCAACTAAAACAGCAGCCCACATCACTGTGAGCACCCTCTCTGTCCATGTGAAATTCAGAGTAAAGCTGTGTCATCACCGAAAACTGCTAAGTTTCTTATGGATTTCAGCCTCTTATCCAACTATCACGACATCTCTCAAAGGCTCAGGTGTGAAAGTAGGTCTGTGTATATTCCTGGATTACATAAGAGGATAACCAAATGCTGCTGGCCATGCTTCTACTGGAAAGGGAGGACATGACTGGATATGCATCATAATGGACCAAGCATAGATCATCAACCACCGATCATCTTTGATGGGTTATTTAAATATGATTAAAAGAAAAAAACATGGCAACTTTATCTGAAATCGATAAACAAGCCATGGTAACCCCAGTGTCCAAATAACTACCAAATCTCAGAACACACTCCGGGGTGAACTTGTGACACGACCACATGCAGGTACAGAGCGTCAGTTGGGGGGAGGCTGCTGGCCTCCAGGCCTGCTCCCAGACATCTCAGCACTCTGTGCAAAGCTTAGAGGTTCTGCACACATGACTGAGCAGCTTAAACAGAAAGTCTATTTAAATACTATAAAAAAAGAAGGAAAAAAAAAAAGGAAACAAGAGATCTGCTTAGCCTAACAGCAGCTGGAGGTCTTAAGCCTGCGCCTCTTATTTTATCTTGGGTTTAGTCAGTCGCAAACGGTGGCTGCTGCTGTGAGCATACGGGCGTAGTGGTGACTTAGACTGGATCCCCCTGCTGCCCTTTTTATTCAGCGTCCTGTCGCATCAGCACAAATCCCCACTGAAGCACAGCATGCGACAGGACGCCCATCAGAAAGACAGAGTCCCAGCTGACCCACACACGCACACACACCCCTGGCAGAACTTTGTGTGTTTTCCCACTTTATCTGGCATCATGAGCCTCGTTTGGGCTGGTTATCAGTGGATCATCTGGTTATCGCTGCCCACCATTTTCCTCTCGGTAGCACAGCACACGGCTCGGATCCAAAACACAGAGAAGTTGAACCGGCTGAAGTAAAAGTAGGACAAGAGGCATCATTAACAGCCCTCCGATGTGTACACAGGCACAATGCAAACATGGCTAATCGGACAGAGTGCATGTTGGTGCCCAGAGGCCGTGTTTTTTCAGTAACCCTTGGTCTCTCTGCTCCTTGCTTTTGCAGCCTTGCCTTTGGGACTCTATACCCAGCGTATTCCTCCTATAAGGCCGTCAAAACGAAGAACGTGAAGGAATATGTGAGTATGAACTCAGTCGCTGCAGGCCGTTTGTGACCCCTGTCTCATCTCTTTGTCATTTTTTTTTTTTACAGACAGCTATTTTTACTCTTGATGCGTTTGGTTCTGAACGTTCTGCGGATGCTGAGGGGGGACGCAGTATCACATTTAGGCCAAACACTTCACATGGTTTCATCAGGGGACACACACACAATAATTAGTGTTTGCTTTGATGCGTCTTGCACATCGCTGGTCATTTTTAGCTGCTGCATAAATCTAATGGGCAAATTTCAACTTGCCACCACATCATAACAATGGCTTAAAACCATCATAGCATTTCAGGACTGTGTGGCCTCCTCAGTCCTCGGGTACCTCTGTAAATGCTGGCCGGGTCCAAGACAGCTGTCCTTGTGCTTTAGAGAATTTGTATTTTATGAACCGCTCCCCTCGAAAAATGGGGTAGCGGAAAAATACATCTGTAGACATACACATAGGCTTGAATAGTCCCATGGCTACGTTTCATTGTGGGTTTTTGATATTGTTGTTTCTTTTAATATTTGAACACTTGAAACAGTTTTCCACAGCCTGCCCAAAGCGATTGGACGGATATGCTCACTGGCAGCCGTTGCCTACTTAAATGGAGCTTTAGCGCATCGCTGTGTGTTTTAAAGTCACTGTAATTTACTGAACCCATTTGTTTTCTGAAACTGTGCTTCACATAAGACATTTAGAGAAAACATCCCCTTGTTTGAGGAGCCTAAAAGAACAGAGACAAATCAGTTCAGAGGGCGTTTCCATAAGTCTTACTAAAGCGTAAATCCATCCAATCTCTTGAGGCTGAAATGAGTGAGACTTCTGATGTGCACTCCCCGCTTAAACCCCAAATCCTCCCCTTTTTGTTCAGTGTTGTTTTGAAGCAAAGCCTCACTTTTCTTGGAGAGCATTTGGAAGCAGTACGCCAAACGGAGTGAATGCCATTAAATTAAAGAAGGAGTGATGAATTAAGCAGTGTTGCTAGAGGAGACTGGGGGAAAGGAGGAGGGGAAAAAGGAGCAGCGTCTCATTGTGTCCTTGGCTGATGGTGTGTTAACTAAACGGGGTCCCTCCTGCTTACCTCATCGCTGCATCAGATGAGAGAGAAGGGGAGCCAGCAGGAGGAGGAGGAGGAGGAGCTCTCTGGCCCACAGCCTAGATTTACACTGAGGAACGGTCTCTTCCTGGCGGGTTACTATGACAACCAGCCCTCTCTATGGCGGCTCAGGCAGACAGCCACAGAAGCAGCGAGTGAGGGGAGCAGGAAGAAGGACGCCATTTTTAGAGTTGATGCTTTTGCTCCTTTGATCACTTTTAATGGGTGAAGTGATTCAGTACGGCGGCCTGAACATCCATTAGCGTCCAGTGCTCGGCAAAGCCATATGTTTTCCTAGCGGCGTTTCCTCTACATCTGCTGTTTTGTGTGGCTGTAGACTATATTCTGAAGCCGCCGTCTTTTGACTTTAAACGTGAAATCTGATGTCTGGTGAAGAGATTGAGACAGACGCTGCTGTTCTGCAGCTCCTGTCGCAGCACGTGTGACGTGTATGATGCTGTGGGTTTCATGGCCTATTTTTAACCTGTCCCCCTTTCCTCACCTCTGTGTGTGTGTGTTCAGGTCAAATGGATGATGTACTGGATCGTGTTTGCGTTGTTCACGACTGCAGAAACGGCCACAGACTTGTTCATGTCGTGGTGAGTCAGGATCTCCTCGCGCCCACGAGCGTGTAATAAATAAGCTGCTTACATCAAATCAATAAGCGTGTTCATGCATGTCTCTGGTACCATGTGCTCCTGTTATTCTTAGGCCAGAATTCTTTTTTTTTTTTCTTTTGTTTTCACCTGAACGTCACTCAGTTGGACTTATCTGCGTCTCCTTCCCCAGGTTTCCATTTTACTTTGAGCTAAAGATCGCCTTTGTGATCTGGCTCCTGTCCCCGTACACAAAGGGCTCCAGCGTCCTGTACCGCAAGTTCGTCCACCCGACTCTGTCCAACAAAGAGAAGGTAGGGGCATCTGAAGCAGCGCCCACGTCCACACTGAAGCATTCGGATTTTTCTCCATTTCTGACAGTTTGTCTGTTTCTTTCTCACTCCCCTCGGCTGTCTGTAGGAGATCGATGAGTACATCACACAAGCCAAAGACAGGAGCTATGAGACCATGATGAGGTTTGGAAAACGGGGTCTGAACCTCGCTGCCAATGCTGCCGTCACTGCAGCCACCAAGGTGAGGAGTGCTCATTTCTGATAGTGGGCTGTAGGAACCTACTTCATTGATCACTAAGAGCCCCTTTTTTCTTTGTTTTTTTTTTTTCTCTCTGGAATGAGATATGAGAACCTGAATAACAGGAAATTCAGGTCCACATGCTATGAGAACAGAGATGACCACTGTATGATTTCAGATATATATGTTTAGAAAAATCACTGCTTTTCTGCTGATGAACCAAGATTATAGCAGTACTTAGGACAGTATTTACATTTAAGAAGTCGAAATGGCTGACAGTCGCAACCTGATTATCAAGATAAATTCAGCTCTGTTGCTGAAGTCATTTTACTGTAAGATTTTCAATACTTTCACATTTGAATATGACTAAAGTTCTCATTCTTGGTACATCCCAGGGTACCATGAACAGCACAGTGCTCCAAACAGAAGAAAATCCATTTATATAACCATTAATAGGAAGTTGCAGTGTAAACTCAAAAGTACAGTTTCTTTAATTATAGTATCGCTCCAACACTTTTTCCAGTTTTTCTGTTGACTTTTTAGCAATGGGTCTGATTAGTAGACAAAAATAATCTTTTCTTCTTGTTCACAAATTATTGTATAATTTGATATTAGAATATTAAAATGTTTTCTTGCAGATGAAGAAGCTGAAAACTTAGAAAACTTACACTTAGAGGTTTGGCCACTTTGAACTGCAGTAGCAATGTCGTTTTAAAAAAACAAAACAAAAAAAACAACTTAGTTATTACCATAGTTATTGTTACACATTGGATACACATGGCTGGTCATAAAATCTAATAGATGGGACATTTCTGTGTAAGGCTATTCTCCGGAGCATGCCGTATCCTGTGTAGATGTGGTCAGTACAGTCCGAACGGTTACAGCGGGAAAGACAAAGGCGGGATCTAACGAAGCTGCGTTTGCCTTTTGCGGCGATGCGCAGGGACAGGGCGTGCTGTCGGACAAGCTGCGGAGCTTCAGCATGCAGGACCTGACCCTCATCAACGCCGAGGACGACCTGGTCCTGCACGGCGCCGACATGCGCACGCGGCGAGACCCCATGGACGAGATGAGCTCGGGGGCCAGCACGCTGCCCCGGGCCCGGAGTGCCGCCACACGGCAGAGTAAGGCCACGCTTCAGAGCAGCTGGTGTTTGTGGTGCTGGGTCAGCAGCTGAGTGAGCAGGGCCCGCGGTCCGAGCCCTCCGTCCGCCTGACCTGGTCACCCAACGTGGACGCGTCCAGCCGCGCGCAGTCAGGCTGGAGGAGGCTTCCAGAGAGGGTCAAGTGGAGACGGGAAGGGTGTGAAGGCATGTGATTGCAGTGGGAGGACATGCTGAGGAGGACTCTTTGTGTGTGCCGACTGGCTGGCTGCGTGGGCCCGGCACGCTGCGAAAAGAATCCAGACGCCGAAACAATGAATGGACAGAGCCAGGTGGCAGTTTGCAGTTTACATCCTGCACAGGGTTTTCACCCCAGTCTGACAACAAGATGAAGGGAATGTTTGATTCCTCCCATCTTTTTGTCCCCGGTTTACAGTGTATTCTTTGATTTAAAGAACATTATGATTAGAGAAAAACCCCCCCTGACAACCACTTAATCTGAGACTTTCCAAATATCCATGAAAGTTGCCCCACAGAAGCCGGAAAACGGTCCCAGCCGTGACACTGAGAATATTTTCAGCATCGCAAAAGTATCCTTTTTTAAAAATTTTTTTACATTAATTACAGATGTAAGAACTGTTGGTGTTAGGGGTCCGAGACACAAATGTCCACTAGGTGTCCTCAAAGTCTGTGATTTCACTGAAAACCATGCGGGCACACCATTTTGACCATTTACTTTTGTGATTTAAAAGAAAAAAAACAAGACATCCGCTAGGAGTTGAGTCAGGCTGCTGGGGCCGACAGCACTGACCCTCACTCTTTGTTTATCCTGCAGCCCGCTCCTCGGCCGCGGCAGCTCTGTCCGACGACGCCGCGTCCCAACACAGCTCTGACCTGTCGGACACCAGGACCGAACACTCGGACGACGACATGGGAGACAAAGCTGCCAAACGCAGCGCCAGCACCAAAACGACCAAGAAGCCCGTGGCTGCGAAGACAGAGGTCAGTGATGACAGACGCTCAGTCTGCCCGGTCTGTGACACGCCTGTTTCCCAGGCGACATGGTGTTAGAGTAAAAAGTAGAATAAAACCCAGTGCCCCGCATACAGGTCCTCCTCTCCGTTTTAACAATGCAAATGGTTCCCCTCTTTTTCCTTCTCTGAAATAACCAGCTGTGTTGTTGGTTCTTTACCTTCTTCTGCCTCTGCCAGACTCAAGCCAAGACGGTGAAGAAGCCAGCAAAGAAAAAGACCACAGCGAATAACGCAGAGACCCCTCCATGAGTCCTGCTGTCCACGTCCACTGGCTCAAACCCGCTCCACCCACAGCCTGCAGTCCCTTCCTTCTGTTTGGTCTCCACACAGACACACACATCCGCCCCAGATTTATCGAAAAAAATATCCCTCAGACACTTAAAAAAATAGCCTAATTTCTGCTGGATTTCCAGAACAATTTGCCAACTTTGTTTTTGTGGCCACTTGTAGTTCACTGGCCTGTTGCCTGTTTACTCACAGCGTCAGACTATCTTTAAATGGTTAAGAATCTGGCCAAATGAGCTCCTTCTTTTCTTGCAGTGTATCTCGTTTAGTTTTCAGCCCACAGAGGCTGACCATGTTTTAATGATTGCTGATAAAAACAATCCTGTCTTTGCTCCAAGTTATCCAGATTTGGACCGCGCCCACGCGTTTCTGGTGGTTTCTAACAGCTGTGGGTATTGAATCTTTACGTTTTCGTGACCACAGAGGTAGAAATCCTCTCCTACCACAGAGGTAAAAGTCGTCTGAAAGATGCAGAAGGCCAAAATATTCTAGAGTGGTGAAAAGGGGTGTAAACTAAAGCTCCTCTTGTTCACTTTGAGAAGAGCCCAGGTGAAAGCTCCAACCCCTCTTCACTGCACCCACACACACACACACACACACCTATCTGGAACGTCTTCTTGAATGTTTTGTCTCATTAAGCTTACATTAAATCCTCTGTTCTATGTTTTAGTATCATTTTACAACAGTTAGGACATCTTTTTCCTGTATTTTTTACGTCTATTTATTCCTGTGCTGGTCCAGGTGATTGGGTGGTATGTTTAATGCTGGCTTATGACCCATCACTTAGACACCACTTTTATTGTTGTTTTACTAAATCTAGAATGATTATTTTCTGATATTTCTGGCCATCTAACATCCATCAAACCTTGATGGAGCCTGGGTAAAGCCACGGTGCATACCAACAATGATCCAAGCAAAAGCAACACGGGCAGACCAAGAGTTTTCTGCCTCCGGCTGTTGTTTCAGACATGGAGGAAGAGCTGCAGGAGGCTGTGGGTGTTCTGGTGGTACTGGACACGTGGGTGCCAGTCACTGCACTGGACATGTTTGTTCCCTGAATGCACCAAAGCATGACGGCGTGCATTGCTGCTGTGTGCAGTGACAGTGTGAGCCTGTAGGGGGAGACAAAGGCCGCCTCACCTCCAGAATAGGTGGAAACACACACTGTAAACGGTGACCCTGACTGTACATACAGGTTGAGCTTGCTTGCCTTATTCATTCTCTGGGCATAGGTACATTAAGGTTCTTTTTTTGTGTCACTTCTGCTTTTTGAGGTTACTTGTACATCATATCAGACAACAGGTTTTTTTCTTTTTTGCTGCCGATTAAATGGAATCTGCTTAAATCTAAGTAGTGATTCAACATTTGCAGCTTTTACATTTAAACACATGCACACAGAGTGTTTTAGGGCCAAAGGCTCATAAAATATATTTATTTCCTTGATTTGACGGAATCCATTTCATCATATCAAGAAACAGAGCTGCAGTTTATCTGGTGTCCCACTCTGAGATATTTATTGCTGATTCTTTTGTGTTTTTAAAACTGTATTGTGTATAGGGATGTTCATTTGTATATCGTTTGTGTTGGTTCTCAAGGCTTCCTCTCATAAAGGATGAAGGTGTGTGTGCTGGCACAGTTGTACCGAATAAGGTCATGCATCATTAAAGAAACTACTAATAAAAAGTTAAAAGTGTATGTGTGTCTTTGTACAGTTGATGCCAAATGCTTTAGACTGGCTAAGAATGACAAAATAATTCCAATCTATTTTTTATTTAACTTTTTAGTTGAATGACATTTAAATGACAAACATCAAGTCAATATTCCCTACATCTTACTGAAACTGGAAAAATGAAGACTGACGTTTTTATTTTGACTACGTTAAAAAAATCTTTTTCTGGAAACTTTGTATTTAGGCGTCTATTTTTCGCCCATAGGTTTCTTCATAGCATCTCCAACCCAGTCATGCTAACTCTCTGAAAATACTGACTTGACAAGAGTTCTAAGTTCTTTAAGATTTTTTAAAAATATATCTTTAAATTCTTCTGAATATTGGATTTTTTTATTTGCAAAACTTTAAGAAAAAAATTGTTTTAACATCGTCCTGTTCAGCCTTATGGCAGCAGAATTGAAATCTCAGTACCATGCTATGTTGAACACTTTTGCTTTGCTAAGGGAGGCCTAATGGGTCAAATACAGTTTTTTTTTAAATGACTTTTTGTTACAAAACTTGACATGTATCCAATAATACCAAACCTGAAAGGGAAAAGGGGAGAGCAACAAAAAAGTAACTACCCCAAAAAGGAGAGAGATCTTTTAGACAGAGGGGGAGAGAAAAAAAGGAAGAGGAAACCACACAACAAGCTGCTTTTTCTGTAAAAGACCAAAAACACCCAGTGGTCTCTGTGGGTCATCCAGATAGAGAACCTTTTGGAGCACCTGCAAATGGACAGAGGGAAGACAAAGACCACAGGGCCCTTTCCCTGTGCATCCACCAACTTCACTTCCCTCCGTTCTTTGCTGTGCTGTTCTCTCATTCGGCTCTGTTCTCTTCGCCTGTGCTCCCTGGCTCACCTGCTCTGTATCCAACAATCGCTCTCCCTACAGAAACCCCAGCGTGTGTTGTGCTCACTCTCAAGGTTTGGCTTTGGTTTGAAATTTTCTTCTCATGTCCTGAGTTTTATTTCTCTGTTTTTGTGTTGCTTCTAGTTTAGTTGTGGCTCTTGTATCTGGCCCTGCCAGAACTTAGGTTCCTTGTCTGGCTCTGCACTTGGATCCATCCCATTGTGATAGGGTGAACCAGGAAGTAGGAAGTTGGGGGGGCGGAGCTTAGCTTTTAAAAGCCAGAGGGAGGCAAATCTGGGCCTTTCACTCCACATGGGTGCAGAGGGCACCTGGCAGCCATTACACTTGAGCTGTTAAGCCAAATCTGGGTTTGGTGCGCAGACAAGAAGGTAAATGGATACACTACGTTTGTCATAAAAGCAGTGCAGCCAATAATGACCACATCCTTTTAGGTCCAAGTAATTGTTATAGTCATCAGTCCTACTTTAGAACTAGGAGAGTTCTTTTGTGGGATATTAATAAAGGTAACTTACTTAAGATAGTAATTTTAATAATAGAATGATCGTCATATTGTATGTGGAATGTTTGTGTCTTTTAGTGATGATCTGGATGCTGCTGAGCTGCCATCCACTGTTTTTTTCCCTTTGTTAAAGTTTAGGCTGTACATTAGTTGTTTGGGCCTATATAGAATTTTTGGACTGTGTCAAATTGGATTGACTTGGGGCAAATTTCCATGTTTTGTTTGGTTTTTATTTGGGCTTCGTTTAGCCATGCCATATTGATTTTATTTGTGTTTCCCAAGTTGCATATTTATTGTTATTCGCACTACTCAAAGTCAACCAAGTGTATGCTTGTCCTGTTTTAAATACAGCCCATCAATGAACTGTTTTGACACATTTTATATTTTCATTTAAGATTTCAGAACAACGAATAATGATGCTTTTATATTTCTGTAAATAAACATACGTATATTGTACTACTAATTAAGTCTCTTTACACTCTATTTTACACTTGGTCACACCATGACCCCCTGGCATTGTAACAGTTCTGTTACTTAAATGCATAAAAATGTAAACGGATGCCGTTCAGATGGATGGGAATACAGCACTGGATTGTGTAAATGATAAAATACGAGACTGCAAGAGTTCTATCAGTCAATGTTCCCAATGTCATGAGCTAATGTTCACATTTATGGTCATTTATAATGTTTAGGGGGGAAACACTTTCTTTTCTTCACCCCTAAAGGACAGTGGAGAGTTTTCTTTGAAATAGGAATAGTGAATAAAATGCTAATTCTTCATTAGATTAATTCAAAGTTATCGGAGTACATTTTGATTTAATCAGAGAGCAGTGTTTGGAAACGTGTGTCAGTAATTGTAATCGGTGAAAGGTTTGCCTTGTGTACATATCTTTGTGTCACAAGAATATGTTGCCAGCAATTGTCTTCCTTTAGTGGAATGTTGCCCTGCTGCCAAAGGGAGGATGGTGTACACACCTTCATCAAACTTTGAGAGTGTTTGGATCAACATGTCACTTTGTGCTTTCATCACTGTCACAGCAGAATAATGCAGGGGTGACCAGGCAGGTTTAAAAAGACTAACAACAACACGTGATAGCGATCCTATTTTCTGCTTTATCTACATTGAGATCACTGCTTTGTGACTATTGATTTGTTGATATGGTTTGCACTTCAGGGCCACTGTACATTTGTGTGTATGTATAAAGTTCTGACAAATCTGAGCAACTGAAACAAATTCTCATAGAAACAGGAAGTAGACATTTTGGAGCCCAAACAGCTTGATCTGAACCATGAATAGGTATTTAAAAAGACAAGACAAGACACTTTTGGAAAAACTTTCCCTTTATCGAATTAGCCAAATTTAACAACCAATTAAAAATTTATCATCATTGACAACCTTTTAAGCACATCATTCTATGGACATATAAATTGATAAAAAGGGAAAGTCAATAATAAAATAATAATTAAACTAAATTTTCCAGATTCCTGTGGGGAAGAAGGAGAACCA